CGAATACGGAATCATCGGCAAGCCCAGGAAATGAGGGACTGTTACCCAGACAATTTGTTAAAACCTCATTGGACTGTCACTGATAGGAACGGCGGGGGGAAAGGGAAAGTTAACTGTGACTTTTGCAGAGGAAAACCTCAGATCCAGCTTTGCTTCTGCTGTGACCACTTTGGCTCTAGTAGATACATTCCTGGCTAAACGTGGGCCCGGAGTCTTCCTTGTCTAACGGATTCTTGGTCTCTTGCTTCCCAGCCAGGTCAGGGCAGCAGCCGACATGACAACCAGCCAGAAGCACCGGAACTTTGTGGCCGAGCCGATGGGTGAGAAGCCGGTTGGCACCTTAGCGGGGATTGGCGATGTCCTTGGCAAGAAGCTGGAAAACAAAGGGTTTGACAAGGTACCCTTTGAGCCCGTAAATCTGAAAGCCAAACCTGGAGCACAGATGGAGAAAGACGGATGCTGTTTTTCTTTTCCTGGATAAATCATTTTGGGCCCTTGAGAAATTTTAGTGGTCTTCCTTTGGAGGGAGCAGCCTCGCTTTCCTATGGTCTGCCCCAGGATGATTGTGCCCCAACCAGAGAGACCTAGAACTAAGCAAGAGACATGGATTGGTCAATGCTCCACCCTTCCTGTCCTCAGCTTCCCCCCCTCCCCAGGGGACACAGGGTAGAAGTGTAGTTGTCCCATTTCGAGTGCAAATTTATTTAATAAATTCGTATAGTCATACATAGGTGGCTCTGGGTGACTTACGACCTTTAAAAATCCTCTGCATACACACTAAAGAGCTGTTTTAAAAACCCCAGCCATCCTTCAGGACAGGGACAACACAATCAAATCAGCCACTTGACTGGCTCCTCTCCATTTGGGGTCCCCAGGAGATCACTGATAGACCCATGTTTCTAGGGCCTTTTGGAAAAGCAGCAGGGTGGGGCCAAGATGCCTAAAGCGGGACTAGAATTCACCATCTCCGGGTGATTGAGTCAAAGTCACCTAGCTGTCTTTCGTATCTTAGGCAGAATTGGAACTCACAATCAAAGGCTGAGAACTTTGCTGCTCTGTTGGGCTTCACAGTTCTGGGATACCAGAGCCTTTATTTACTTATTAAATGTACCGTAAATGCTGGCGTATAAGACGACTTCCGCGAGCGCTGAAATCAGCGCCAAAGACAGGGGTCGTCTTATACGCCGAGTCGTCTTATACGCCGGAAATACTGGTAGTTTCCGGCGTATAAGACGAATTTCTAGGAATGCGGCCCAGCTATAAAGACGGGGGTCGTCTTATACGCCAGGTCACCTAATACGCCGGCATATACGGTATTTATTGACTTACTAAGTTTCTCTGCTGCCCATCTCACTCTCCAGATCAACTCTTTCGCCTCCCCGTGGCTTTGTTTTACGCCCTGACATCAGTCCCTCTTACTCACTGCCCTCTCTTTCTTTCCTTTTCCTTCCCTTGAACCCAGGCCTACGTCGTGCTGGGCCAGTTCTTAGTGCTGAAGAAGGACGAAGACCTCTTCCGCGAATGGCTGAAGGACACGTGCGGAGCCAACGCCAAACAATCCAGAGACTGCTACGGGTGCCTGCGCGAGTGGTGCGATGCCTTCTTGTGAGAGCTGCGGGTCGAAGCCAGGTGGGGCTCTGAGGGCTTCTGTAGGTAGCTGGCGGCTGACCCGTTCCCGGTCCTCCTCCGCAGAAACGCCCTCTGGGCTTTGCACAAGGCTCCCTTCCGGATTTCCCTCCGAATCCTAGACAAAAATGATTGCGCCTTTTTAATGTCCCTCAACTTCTGCCCTCCCAAGAGGGAGTTCGGAAGGGTACCGTGTTCCAGTCTTGACCCCTGACCAGTTTTCCCCCTTTTGTAGCGTTCTCTGTTGGATCCTTCCTTAACGCTTCCCGTGCTGAGTTCTCGGCCTGCAGTTTAACTCCCAAAATTGAGATTTGTACTATGAAAATTGGCGGAGACGTTCTTGGTCTCTTCTCAGGCCTCTGTGTAACCTGACGCCACCCTGGCTGAAGGTCAGGAACCCAAATAATGCCACGTTTTTAAATCAATAAAAATCAGCTGTGTTTAATATTCAGGGGTGCTTGACAGTCATTGTGGAGGGGGGGGTTCTGCCTGAGGGTTACCGGAAGAGCTGTGGGTTGGGGGTGGACCTCAGGTGGGGGGATATGTGGCAAATCTGCCCTCCCCCCCCCCGCATAACTCACTGAGTTGAAAGAAAGTTCAGGAGTTGCTCTCTTAATCTCACTCTACAACAGGGTGGTCAAGTAAGTCATTTATGAAGATATTGAAAAGTGGATACAGAACTTTGGGGTACCCCACTGCTTACTTCCCTCTATATCAGTGGTTCTCAACCTTTTTAATGCCGCGACCCCCAACCGGTCGTAAGTTGAGGACAACCGGTCGTAAGTCGAGGACTACTCAACGGGTGCAGCACCGTTTGCAGAATGGGACTTTTGGTGGGCTCAGCAGCGAGGCAGCCTGGACAATTCCTATTGGCTTTTGAAAGCCAATAGAGAATAAAAGGGAGTAGAACAGCTAAGGAAAAGGGGGGGGGGAAATGGCAGACTGCGTTGTTTGGCGGCCCCCGTGAAATGGTCGTTCGACCCCAAATGGGGTCCCGACCCACAGGTGGAGAACCGCTGCTCTATATGGATGTATTTCTGTCCTTGGCAACTTTAACACTTGTGGACTTCAACTCCCATACTAGCTGGCTGGGGAATTCTGGGACTTGAAGTCCACAAGTGTTAAAGTTGCCAAGGACGGAACTACATCCATATAGAGGGAAGTAAGCAATGGGGTACCCCAAAGTTCTGTATCGCAGAGGTCCCCAACCTTTTGGGCACCAGGGACCGGTTCCGTTCCGTTTATCTGCAGACCGGAGAGTGCGTGGTTTTGTGTGCTGCCTGCATCTCGCGGACGGGGCTTCGCTTGTTTGTGTGGCCCGGTTGCTGGCACGCTGCAGCCTGGTACTGATCCACAGACCGGGGTTGGGGACCCCTGCTGTATCAGGTCCAATACTTTTCAATATCTTCATAAATGACTTAGAAGATGATGGAATAGAAAAGGAACTCATCAAATTTGCAGATGACATTAAGCTGGCAGGACTAGCCAACACCTTCAGTGCTGTGCTCAAGATCCAGAGGAATCTTGACAGGCTTGAACACCGGGCCCTATCTGAAATGTAATGTAGAGAAAAGAAAAGTCTTACACTTAGGCAAGAAAAACTTTATAGGTACAGACGAGGTCAGGGGTAGGCAACCTTGGCTCTTTTATGACTCGTGGACTTCAACTCAGGAATTCTGGGAGTTGAAGTCCACGAGTCATAAAAGAGCCAAGGTTGCCTACCCCTGGACTAGGTAAAACTTGGCTTAATGCCAGTAACTGTGGGAGGGACCTTGGAGTCCCAGTGGACAATCACTTGAATATGAGGCAACACTGTACTATACTATAGCAGTCAAAAAACCCCAATGCGGTCCTAGTCTGCATTAATAAAGGGATAGAATCAAGATCATGTGAAGGGTTAGTACTGCTTTATAAGGCCTTGGTAAGGCCACACTTGGACTATTGCATCCACTTTTGGTCACCGTGATAACAAAAAAAATGTTAAGACTCTAGAACAGTAGTTCTCAACTTGTGGGTCGGGACCCCATTTGGGGTCGAACGACCATTTCACCGGGGTCACCAAACAACGCAGTCTGCCATTTTCCCCCCCTTTTCCTTAGCTGTGCTCCTCCCTTTTATTCTATTGGCTTTTGAAAGCCAATAGAATAGACTCTCTTGAATAGAGTCTCATTCTATTGGCTTTCAAAAGCCAATAGGAATTGTCCAGGCTGTCTCTGCCCTGCTGAGCCCGCCAAAAGTCCCATTCTGCAAACGGTGCTGCACCAGTGGAGTAGTCCTTGACTTACGACCGGTTGAGTAGTCCTCAACTTACGACTGGTTGGGGGTCGCGGCGTTAAAAAGGTTGAGAACCACTGCTCTAGAAAGAATGCAGAGAAGAGCAACACAGATGATTAGAGAACTGGAGGCTAAAACTGTTACGGGAATTGGGTAGGTCGAGTTTAATGAAAAGAAGGGCCAAGGGTGACACGATCGCATCTTCCCGTATCTGAGGAACTCCTATGAAGATGAGGGGGGCAAACTAATTTCCAAAGCACCAAAAAGCAAGACAAGAAGAGATGGAAACTAACCAAGGAGAGAAGCAACCTAGAGGAGAAACTTCCTGACAATTGAAAACAATCAGTGGAACAGCTTCCCTCCCTGGAGGTTTTTAAGAAGAGACTGGAATCTAAGGGTTCCTGCTTGGGCAGGGGTTGGGCTAGACGACCTCCAAAGGCCCCTTCCAACCCTGTGATCCTATGTTTAAGGATGGACACCCCTGCTCCAAACTGTGGTCTCTTGCTCCTCTGGGAATGCAGCCCCTCCCTGCCTCCTGGGAACCCGGACTACACTCCACCGCAAGGAGGCTTAACCTGAATCTCCGGCCTTTGCACGTGCAAAGCATCCCAACAGCCGCTTGGACGCAACACGGGAAGCCGCAGAAACCCAAACCGGGGTTAGCACAGAGTCTCCGGGTTGGAAGAGCTTTTGGAAAGTCTTCTAGTCCACGGCTCCCCAACCTGGGCAACCTGTGGGCTTCACCAGCTTCAGCCAGCTGGAGAATTCTGGGAGTTGAAGTCCACAGGTCTTCAAGAGGCCCAGGTTGGGCACCCCCGTTCTAATCTAGTCCAACCCGGTTGCTCCACCAGGAGCCCGTATATAAGGGTTGCGGCTGACCAGGTTATTGGGGGGGGAGGGGTTGGGATGAGGGGAGGTGATCCCTTCCCCCCCCCCAGCCGGCCGTTCCTGCGCGCGGAGAAGCCAAAGCTTGCCAAGGCTACGGGCGGCGAGGATCTGCAACGGGGCGCCCGCGGGCGCCCGAGCTGCGTGCCGAGCCCTGACCCAGCAAAGCAGGGGGCGGCGCCGAGAGGAGGCCCCGCCCCTTTCCCCGGCCACCGCGGGGGGGGAGGCGCTGCAGCCCGTCGGTCGCCGCGCGGGCCAGTCGCGGGGAGGATGGCGGCGGCGACGACGGCGGCGCTCTTCGGGCTGCTGCTGCCGCTGCTGGCGCCCGCCGCGCTGGCGGCTCCGGGCTGGGCCGTGCCGGCGGACGTGCGCGGCGACTCGGTGCGGGAGGCGGCCCGCTTCGCCCTGGCCGAGGCTTTCCCCGAAGGGCATCCCCGCGGACTCTGGGCGCTGCGCGGGGCCAGGACGCAGGTCAGCCGCCGCGGCGGGCGCCGGGTTGGAGTTGCGCGCAGCCCAAGCCGGGGAAAGGGGGGGGGCGCCTCTTCTGCGGGATGAGGAGGGGGCGAGCGAGTGGCTGGGGTGTGTGTGGGGGGGTCTTTCCCCTTCTTGGAAGATTTCTCTGCCAACTAGACTAAGGTGACCCCTGGATCTGGGGTCCCCCAGAATTGCGGACTACACAGCCCATGCGGCTTTGCCACCGCTTGAGCTGGTGGGAGCTGTGGTCCAGCCCCTCCCAAGGGCCACTCTCCCTCCCTCCCTTCCACGGAGACCCTTCCCCTGATCCAGGGTTTGGCTGGACCCCCATCCGGGCTGAAGTCTATTCAAACCATGCGCAGAAGAATATACATTCCCCCCCCCCCAAAATGCAACACCCCACCAAGGATGTCCCCTCCTCATTCTTTATCTAATTTATTTATCTCCCTCTTATTTATTTATCTCATTATTTATCTCCTGGGAAGTTTCTCAGCAGCTGCTCCATCCGTTCTTGTGAAGCAGAAAGGAACTAAGAAATTTCTAAATCAGGGGTATCCCCTCTCCGCAGCTTTAAGACCTGTGGACTTCAACTCTCAGAATTGGGCTGGGGAATTCCGGGAGCTGAAGTCCACAGGTCTTAAAAGTTGCCGAGAGCCTTGAGGAATTAGGGTTATTATCATTTGCACCTTTAGGGATGCAGGATGGAGAATTTCGCACCGGAAAAAAATGCCCTCTCTAACACACAATGCTGAAGCAGTACCATATAACTTCAAACACCCCTGGCCTCCAGAAAGGTTGGATTCCAATCCCCATCATCCTCGGATCAGCCTCTTGGAATCAGGAGGCTTGTGACCCTGTTTATCTGGAGATTGGAGAAGGCTCCTGGAAAAGGAGACCGGGACAAGGGTGCCACCGACAATTGTCAGAATAATGTTGACGCCAATTAGTGTTGATTTGGTTCAAAATTGAGCCTGATGACTGGCTGGGGTTTCGTGGGCTTTTAATGTGTTATGTAAGAGGATTAAATCACTGACTAAACACCACATGTCTCTCAGCTGACCCGCCAGCCAGAGCATCGGAAGCTGGTTGACCTTCTTTCTCTTTGTTTTTTTTTTTAGAGCTCCGGGACTTACAAGATTTTATTCTATTTTGTTTTGTTTTATTGTATTTTGTTTTACTTATTTTATTTTCCTTTTATTTTATTATGTCATTTCAGTTCATTTTAGCGATAGCCCTTAGACTTGCATCCCGCTTCACAAGTGCTCTACAGCCCTCTCTAAGCGGTTTACAGAGTCAGCCTATTTGCCGAAATGCTGGCAGTCAGCAGAATTTGCCTGCAGAGCTGCATTCTAACCACTGTGGCACCATGGCTTTTTAATGCTATTTTAGTTCATTTTATTTGATTTCACTTTATTTGATTTCGCTTTATTTGATTTCACTTTACTTGATTTCACTTTATTTGATTTCATTTAAAGCCCGCCTTTATTATATTTATTATATAGCCGAGGTGGCGCAGCAGTTAGAGTGCAGTCCTGCAGGCCACTTTAGCTGACTGTGCTCAGCAGGGCAGCGGTTCAAATCTCACCGGCTCAAGGTTGACTCAGCCTTCCATCCTTCCGGGGTAGGTAAAATGAGGACCCAGATTGTTGGGGCAATGTATAATATATATATATATATATAAATATATATATATATATATATATATATATATATATATATATATATATATATATATACATCATATACATGCTTACTGGTGTACACCGCTTAGAGCAGTGGTTCTCAACCTTTTTAATGCCGCGACCGCCAACGGTTGTAGGTTGAGGACTACTCAACCGGTCATAAGTCGAGGACTACTCAACTGGTGCAGCACCGTTTGCAGAATGGGACTTTTGGCGGGCTCAGCAGGGCAGAGACAGCCTGGACAATTCCTATTGGCTTTTGAAAGCCAATAGAATTAGACTCTATTCAAGAGAGTCTATTCTATTGGCTTTCAAAAGCCAATAGAATAAAAGGGAGTAGCACAGCTAAGGAAAAGGGGGAAAAAATGGCGGACTGCGTTGTTTGGCGACCCCCGTGAAATGGTCGTTCGACCCCAAATGGGGTCCCGACCCACAGGTTGAGAACCACTGGCTTAGAGAGTGCTTGCACTTAAAGCGGTCTATAAGTCTCATAAATAAATAAATATTCCCTGCCTGAGCAGGGGGCTGAGCTAGAAGACTTCCAGAGTCCCTTCCAACTCTTGTTATTCTGTTATAGTTTTAAAAGCAGCTCAAGGTTGCCTATCTAATACAGTCCTCCTTCCTCCTCCTATTTTCCCCATAACAACGACCCTGTGAGGTGGTTGGGCTGAGACAGAGGGACTGGCCCAAGGTCACCCAGCTCACTTTCATGGCTAAGGCAGGACTAGAACTCACCGTCTCCTGGTTCCTAGCCTGGTGCCTTATACATCTAGCGTGAGAGCCTTGCAGGCAAAGAAACAACCTACTCAGTGACGGCACTTTATAACTGGACCCCAAAGATCCACAAGACACAAAAATTTGCAGACAGGAATTTCAATCTGTTACGGAAGTGAAATCTCAGCATTTCTCTCTAAGGTTTCTGTTGGTGTTTGTAAGAGCTGTGACCCTTGCTGTAAAGCTCGGGGATGATCTCCTTGGACGAATGGGGGGGGGAGCCGAGCAGTCTTGGGCAAGAACAGCCCCTCCTGTTTCAGTTCTTACCACGCCTGTTTAGCCTCCTTTTTCCAAAGCTTTGGTTCTTTGTCAGAATAACAGATTTGGAAGGGATCGCAGCTCCAACCTTTTCCGTACCCTGCACCCCTAGAACGCTTCTGATATATTCTGGCACCCCAGATAAAAGTTTGAAATAACAGCAGTGAATTATGCATCTACACTAGGGGTAGTCAACCTTGACTCTTTTATGACTCGTGGACTTCAACTCCCAGAATTCCTGAGCCAGCACAGCTGGCTCAGGAATTCTGGAAGTTGAAGTCCACGAGTCATAAAAGAGCCAAGGTTGACTACCCCTAATCTACACTATAATTTTTGAAGTTTTTGCACCCCCTGGAATATCATCTCCCCCCCCCCAAGGAGTGCGAGCACCCCTGGTTGGGAACCCATGTTCTAGTCCAACCCACTGCCCAAGGCAAGGGCCCTCATCCCCAGTGCTTTTTTTTTTGTAAAAAAAAAAAAAAGTGCCAGAACTCACACACATCATACAACCCGCTTTGCCTACCCTACAAGGTTCCATCCAAAAAAGGTGCCAGAATTCCAGTCTGGGTGTTCTATGAGAAAAAAAAAAGCCCTGCTTATACCATTCCAGACAAATGGCTGTCCAATCTTTCCTTGAAAACCTCCAGCGGTGGAGATCCTTTTTTGTTGCAACTTACACACTTCTGTGAAGGGACCTTGGAGGACTTCTAGTCCACCCCCCTGCCCAAGGCAGGACACCTTATTCTGTCCTGGACAAATGGCTGTCCAGTCTCTTCTTAAAAGCCTCGCAGCCACAACCTCTGGAAGGAAGCTGCTTCATTGATTAATTGCTCTCGTTGTCAGAGAATTTCTCATTAATTTTCTTAAGTCCTGGTGCTTTTTTCTTGAGAACAGGTGGTGAATGGAGTCAAACACTACTTGGAGGTTGTCCTGCTCCAGAGTCCGTGCAGGAGGGGTGAGATTGCGGACTGCGGCAGCGCTTCGGGGTCTCTCCCTCTGGGAAAACCAGAACATGTGGTAAGCAGGGACCCCCCCAAAGCTTTCGCTTCTAATTGAGAGGATGGGTTTGATAAAAATATATATGTCACCTTATCAACGCAATGGGCACCATATAAATTTAGTAAATAATAGTTTTCATAATTGTTTTTACGGTTAATAACACAACAGTCAAAAATAATAGTTTTGACTAATTTTCAAAGCACTCCGTTTTTGCCTAGTTCCACTGAAAATGGTTTGGGCTGATTGGAGTTAGTGCAGCCACTGATTCCTTTTGCAGAGGGACTCGGGGTGACAGGATAGCATCTTCCAATACTTTAGGGGCTGCCACAGAGACGAGGGGCTCAACCTATTGTCCAAAGCATCAGAAGGCCAAACAAGCAACGGATGGAAGCTAATCAAGGAGAACAGCAACCTGGAATAAAGGAGGAATTTCCTAACGAGGAGAACAATTAATCCATGGAACAACTTGCCTCTAGAAGTTATGGGCACTCTGTCACTGGAGGTTTTAAAGAAGAGATTGGACTGCCAATTGTCTGAAATAGTCTAGGGTCTCCTGCTTGTGCTTGAGCAGGGGGCTGGACTAGAAGATCTCCAAGGTCCCTTCCAAGTCTGTTATTCTGTATTCTGTAACCTTCATACTTCTATGCACAGGGCATTAGCTTTACAGCATAGAATCCTAGGGTGGAAGGGATCTTGGAGGTCTTCTAATCCAGCCCCCTAGTCAAGGCAGGAGACCTTATGCCATTGCAGACAAATGGCTGTTCAGTCTCTTCTTAAAAGTCTCCAGTGATGGAGCAGTCACAACTCCGGGAGCCAAGCTATTCCACTGATTAATTGTTCTCACGGTCTGGAAATTTCTCCTTAGTTCTACGTTGCTTCTCTCTTTGATAACCTTCCATGAGACAAGGCTCGTGGATCTTGGAGAAGGTCCGGCATATGCTGCTCAAGGATGCTGTGCTAGGGCCTCACTTGACTCCTCCTCCCAGCCTAGCTGCCAGTTTCCCAACGCCAAGAAAGTCAGGACACTGAGCGAGAGAGCTTCCATGAAGCTTCTGCTCAGCCGCTTTTCTGGGTGGCTCTGAGGAAGTTGAGAAACCCCAATCTGGACTGTGAGTAAACCTGATTTCCAATTCCACCCTGCCCATGGTCGCTTGTACATTTCTGACTCATTGCTTTTCTCACCACCCAGTCCTGCCACTTCGAGGTTTGGAGCCAGCCCTGGGCGAGCAGCAAGAATCTGCTTAAGCAAGACTGTCATCCCACCGGTAAGTCAGCTCTGAGTCTGCCTGCAGCAGCCGCCGGGCGCCAGTTCTCAGGGTTTCGCCCCTGTAGGTAGCTGCCAGTCTCAGCAGATCCCCGAGCGGCTGCTTTGCCTAACAAATCAGGGTGGGAAAAGAAACGGCCAAGTCAGAAGTTGCCCGAAGGCATCAGAGCATCCCGTGCAAAGGAGAAGTTGGGCGCCTATGTTAAGCCAGGTTGTTTTAAACCATGGCTTGCTAAAGAAGCCCTTGTGGCTGAGCTGCGCGTCACATTGGGAGGGCTTGCAGATTGTGCCGACCCACAATAGGAGGGTGAGTTTGGGCTTAGGGCAGGGTGGATTCATGTAATTTTGATTCAGTCTCTAGGTCAGTGGTGGCGAACCTATGGCACGCGTGCCAGAGGTGGCACTCAGAGCCCTCTCTGTGGGCACGCGCGCCATGCCCCGGAGATGGCAACTGTCCCTCTTCAACCAGCCGCCCACTAACTCGCCGAGGTCCCACATGGCTGGATGCATCCCAGCACCCATGCGCTCGCTGGCCTCTGTGTGCAGTGGCCGATGGTGTCAGGCAGCAGCCACCCCGGCCCCTGCATCACCTTGCCCTGTGATAATGGCACCCCCGCCCTGCCTCGCCTTGCCTCGCCTCACCCCACAGGACGAGGCTCCTACCCACCGCCCCATCTGCCAGAGACCCCCTGGATCTCCCCCAACCCTGCCCAGCCCCCACAGACGTCCCTCCCCACAAGCAACATTGAGGTGATCACTCCCATCTTGGCCACATCCACCCAATCGGCCATGACCACCACAGCCACGCCCACCCACTGGGCCACGCCCACCTGGCACCCGGCGATAAATAAGTGGGTTTTGGGTTGCAGTTTGGGCACTCGGTCTCTAAAAGGTTCGCCATCACTGCTATAGGTAGTCCTCGCCTTACAACTATTCATTTAGTGACCGTTCAGAGTTACAACGCAACTGGAAAAAATGGCTTAGGGCCGTTTTTCACGCTTACGACCGTTGCGGCGTCCCCAGGGTCACACGATCAAAATTCAGACGCTCGGCAACTGGTCCATACTTAACGACGGTCGCAGGGTCCTGGGATCACATGATCCCCTTTTGTGACCATCTGAGAAGCCAGATTCACTTAACTAACCTAACAAACTGCAATGATTCACTTAACAACTGTTGGAAAAAGATCATAATACGGGGCAGAATTCACCCCAAAACGGTCTCACTCAGCAATAGAAATAGGGGGTCAGGAGGATTTGCTCTAAAGCCGGGGTGGCCAAGCTTGGCAACTTGCTTATTCTTGATTATTCTTGGCAGCTTGCTTATTCTTAAGATCTATGGATTTCAACTCCCAGAATTCCTCAGCCAGCATGACCTCTGGGATTCTGGGAGTTGAAGTCCACAAGATTCTGGCACTCAAAGGGCCCCCGTCTCAAAAGGGGTCAAGGTTGGACACCCCGGCTGTAAAGGCTGTGGGGCCGTAGGGTCCCTCTTTGATCCAGGAAGGTCTCGGTGAGGAGCGAAAGAATTGTAGCCAAATTTCTGTTCTGGCTGCGGTAATATTTCTTGTTCCTCTGTTTTTGGCAGAACCATTGGCTGAAATCCAGGCAGCCTCACTGGGTCCGTGGGAGACGTTTCCGCTGAACGGCCCTTTTGTGGACGTGGCTGAGGCATCTTTGAGGCAGGAGGAGTCCCTCCAGGTGGGTAATGCTTTTCCCCAGGAAGATACAGCTGGTCCTCGACTTACAACCGCAGTCGGGATGTCACTATTGCATCATCTCCTGCTTGAGCGGGGGGGCTGGACTAGAAGACCTCCAAGCTCCCTTCCAGCTCTATTCCATTCCATTCCATATATTCTGTTCTACTTTGTTCTGTTCTAATCTACTCTACTCTCTATATTCTATTCTACTCTACTCTATACTCTACTCTACTCTCTATATTCTACTCTACTCTACTCTCTATATTCTATTCTACTCTACTCTACTCTACTCTACACTACACTACACTACACTCTACTCTACTCTATCCCATCCCATCCCATCCCATATATTCTGTTGTATTCTGTTCCATTCTGCTCCATCCTATCCTATCCTATCCTATCCTATCCTATCCTATCCTATCCTATCCTATCCTATCCTATCCTATCCTATCCTATCCTATCCCATCATTAAGCAAGGCATCACGAGACCAGACCCAGTTTTATTTCCATTTGTTAAAATGGTCATTAATTGAACCATGCATTCATTAAGTAAATTGCAGGGCAGTTAAGCAAACATTTTCATGGTCGGAATCTGGCTGGAAGATCACAAATTGCGATCCTGTGACTGCAAGATTCTGCAGCCGTCGTAAATGCCAACCGGTTGTCCAGCACCCAGATCTTGGGGTGGTACAATGGTTGTAACTTTGAGAATGGGTCACGAGTCACTTTTTCTGTTGTAGCTTCGAACTGTCTGTCGTAAGCTGAGCGTGGCTTGTCAGATGGGGTTGCTCCGAGGACAGGGCCCAGCTCCCTTTCTCCCTTTGGCTCCCAAGAGATAGAGGGGGCCATGCACTGATTCTGGAGGGGAATGATGGGCCGTGTTGTCCTAGAGAACAGCTGAGTTTTGCTTCAGCTGAGTTTTTCCTTCTGCAGAGGAGACTGGGGGATCTGGCACAGCAGACCCTCCTTCCCCAGGTATTAAGGAAGGAAGCTGGGCATGGCTCAGAGTTCCTCCACGCTCCAATTGTGGCCCTTACAGGCCCCCCCCCTTTTTTTATTAAAAGTTTTTTATTTTTTGATGTAAACATTATAAGAAAAAAAAAATACAATACAATTTTGAAATAAGATAAATTCGTAACCATTGGTACGACCTGCCCACCCCCCCCCCCAGGCTGCGTCCACCCTCTCTTAAAACATTCCCTACTTCCCTCCTCTTTCTCACCTCCCATCCTATTCTCTTCCCCTCCCCCTCTCCTCTCACTGCCCTACTTCCTCTCTACACTTTCTCACCTCTCATCCCTATCAAACCCATGAACGCAGCATAAGGGGAGTGCCCAGGCCGCACCCCTATAAGCAACCATTATCTATATTACACTTACCCCCCCACACATTTCCTCCCTCCCACCCCCAACCCCCCTCCCTTCACTTCCCAGAGCAGAATACAGGGTTAATAATAAGAAAATTTATAATAATAAGGAAAAAGAAAAAAAAAGAAAAAAAGAAAAAAAAAGGAAATATCATTCTTAACCTTTAACTCCAATGACCTATAAGACAATTCTCTATAATATTTACTATAATATTCATTCATAAAATAAATGAAACTTTTTAGTTCCATACTTTTTCTGAATATAATCTATCCATCTTCTCCATACAGTAATATATCTTTCTTGTGTATGATCCTTTAAATAAGCAGAAATGTTTGCCATTTCTGCAAAACTAGATACTTTAAATACTCATTCTTCTAAAGTAGGCAAAAAATCTTTCTTCCAATATAAACCTATTAATAACCTTGCAGCAGTTAATAAATTCAACATCAAAATAGTTTCTTTATCATTTAAGTCCACAAAAATACCCAATAGAAATAGTTGAGGAGTGAACTTTATCTTCCTTCTAAAAATCTTTTGAATGTTCCACCAAATCATAATCCAAAATGCCTTTACCTTTTTACAATTCCACCAAATATGAAAATATGTCGCATCTTTATTGCCACATCTCCAACATTTGGGCTGTATATTACAGCCCCCCCCCCTCTTGACAAGGCTGCAATTCTTGCTGCTTTGGGGGCAAGGTGGGTTTCGAAATTTTCAACTCCAACCATTCCTTCCCAACTCAGCTCAGTTTCTCCCACTAGAGGGGGTCTTAGGGCAGGACGGGCTTGGAAGACACCCAGCTCATCTGCCAACATCTTCCTGAGGGTCCCAAAGTCCCCTGCCCTCCGGTGACATCACAACCCCACTCTTTATTCAGGGCGGGAAGCCTGTGGGTGGCCCCCAGGCCAAAAATGGCTGCTCGCTCTCCATCTTCGGAGCCTCAGTTGCCTTAAAGTTCTGCAGAGGACTAGCGGGCTGCAGCCGGGGTGGGGCCAGGCCTGTGATCCAGTCGGGGGTGGCTGTCTTGCCTGTCTCTGGTTCTCATCCTGGGTGTCTCTTCCTTCCACAGAACGCCTCTGCCCGCCTGGTCTCCCTCTTCAAGGACTTTCTGATCACCTACAGGAAGAGCTACCTGGACGAAAGAGGTGACTGGAAAGGGGGACGTTGCAGAGGGACCTGTTACCCTTTGCAGTTGGGGGGGGGGCAGGCCCCATTGCACAATTTCATGAAGATATTGTAGGCATGATCCAGAGATCGCGGCTTTCAAAAGAGAACTCCAATCATATTGTAAGACGCCCAAAATCTCTGCATCAGTGAGATGGACAACATAAAAACCAGATAGATGAGAGAGACAGACAGACAGTATGGCTAGCTAGATGATAAAGAAAGTGAAAGAAAAGAAAAATAGATAAAGATAGACAGAATATAGCTACATGATAGATAAAATGAAAAAAAAGAAAGCGAAGATAGAAAGATATATAAAGACAGAATATAGAAGATAAAGAAACTGAAAGAAAGTAAAAGAAAGATAAAGAGAGAATATAGATAGAAAAATATAGATAGATGGATTATATAGAAAGATATATAAAGACAGAATATAGAAGAGAAAGAAAAAAAACAGACAGACATAGAGAGATAGATAGAGAGAGAGAGAGAGAGAGAGAGAGAGAGAGAGAGAGAGAGAGAGATAGAAGCTTTGGAAGTGAAGCTCATTCAGTGGAATGGGCTCCAGAGTGGAAGAATTCCAGCCCTCCTTTTAAGCAAAGGGTTTGCGTTGGGTCCTCAGTCTGCCATATCCAGTTTAGGCTTATTCTGCATCTGCATAACTTCATTAATCTATGTACAAGCAGTCCTTGATTTACAATATTCATTTAGTGATTGTTTGAAGCTACAACAGCACTGAAAAAGTAACTTACAACCAGTCCTCACACTTACGACCATCACGGCATCCCCGAGAGCCAGTTTGGTCTAGACTCTAGTGGTCAAGGCACCAGGCTAGAAAGCAGGGGACCATGAGTTCAAGTCCTGCCTTAGCCTTGAAAGCCAATCACTAGGACAGTGGTTCTCAACCTGTGGGTCGGGACCCCATTTGGGGTCGAACGACCATTTCACGGGGGTCGCCAAACAACGCAGTCCGCCAATTTTTTCCCCCTTTTCCTTAGCTGTGCTCCTCCCTTTTATTCTGTTGGCTTTTGAAAGCCAATAGAATAGACTCTCTTGAATAGAGTCTAATTCTATTGGCTTTCCAAAGCCAATAGGAATTGTCCAGGCTGTCTCTGCCCTGCTGAGCCCGCCAAAAGTCCCATTCTGCAAACGGTGCTGCACCAGTTGAGCAGTCCTCGACTTACAACCGGTTGAGTAGTCCTCGACTTACGACCGGTTGGAGGTCGCGGCATTAAAAAGGTTGAGAACCACTGCACTAGGAGGTGGTGAGTTCTAGTTCTGCCTTAGGCATGAAAGCCCAGCTGGGTGACTTTGGGCCAGTCCCTCCCTCTCAGCCTAACCCACCTCATAGGGTTGTTGTTGTGGGGAAAATAGGAGGAGGGAGGGGCGTTGGATAGGTTTGCCCCCTTGAGCTATTTGTCAAAATAATGAAGGCGCGTTGCAAATAAATAAACAATCAAAATTTGGGTGGTTGTCAACCAGCATGTATTTACAACAGTTGCAGCATCCCAGTGTCACGTGATCACCGTTTGTGAGCTTGCTGGCTGACTTCCAACAGGCAACGGCAGTGGGGGAAGCTGGTTTCACTTAACATCCACGCGATTCATTTAGCAATTGCAGTGATTCTGTTGAGAACCGTGGCAAAAAAAAAAATAAGGGTAAAATTGGGCACGACGTACTTCACAATTGCCTTGCTGACTAACCAAAATTCCGGTCATAAGTGCAGGATGACTAATCCTCATTCTAACTGGGAGCTGTTTCCCTGAACTGTTTTCTTCCAGAGATCCAAAAGCGCTTCCAGATCTTTGCTGAGAACCTGGAGAGGGCCCGTCTGTATCAGGAGCTGGACCAGGGCACTGCAGAATACGGAGTCACCAAATTTAGCGACCTGACAGGTACAGCAGGCGGGAAGCTTGGTTCCTCTTTCTTTTTTGCATTGCAAAAGTTCCTTGGAAAGCGGAGGAACATTTTGCACCTGGATCCAATTGTGTCCCATGCAAAACTGTCCGTCTCATCTGCAGGGGATCATTTCTCGGTCAAAACAGCCAATAAAGGTATATGGTGGACCTAATCATAGTTTGGGCCTGTTAACTATTCTATTCAGAACTTTTTAAAAAACCTTTGGGCTGGCTGCAGTTGACAGGCACGAATAGAATGGAAATAGAAATAATAGAACAAAAGAGAACGGAATACTTCATTCGGCCAAGTGTGACTGGACACACAAGGAATTCTTCTCTGGTGCAGAAGCTCTCAGTGTACATACAAAGCAACAGAGTGCAGATAGTCCCCGACTTACAATCGTTCGTTTAGTGACTGTTCAAAGTTTGTTGTTGTTGTTAATTGCGAAGTCGTGTCCGACCCATTGCGACCCCATGGACAACATTCCTCCAGGTCTTCCTGTCCTCTACCATCTTCTGGAGTCCATTTAAGTTCACACCTCCGGCTTCAGTGACTCCATCCAGCCACCTCCTTCTCTGTCGTCCCCTTCTTCTATTGCCCTCCATCTTTCCCAGCATCAGGCCCTTCTCCAGGGAGTCCTTCCTTCTCATTAGGTGGCCAAAGTTCAAAGTTACAGCAACACTAAAAAAAAAAAAGGGACTTAATGACTGTTTTTCACACTTATGAATGTTGCAGCGTCCCAGGATCACGTGATCAAGGTTCAGAGACTTGGCAACTGACTCCTGTTTACGACGGTTGCAGTGTATCGGGGTCACATGATCCCCTTTTGCGACCTTCTGACAAGCAAAGTCAGTGGAGAAACTAGATTCACTTAACAATTGTGTCACTAACTTAACAATTGCAGTGGTTCACTTAATCACCAGGGCAAGAAAGGTCGTATAATGGGACAAAACTCATTTAACAAATGTCTCACTTAGCAACGTAAATTTTGGGCTCAATTGTCATAAGTTGAGGACTACTTGTAATAATAATTGTCCTAATAGTACCAGTAAGAGGGGTTGGTTTAATTATGGTGTCAGCCTCACTTCAGTCCTGTCTTATCAAGAATGTGTGCTTAATTGTGGCTTTGTGTGTTGTGTGTTGGACTAATCCCTTCATTGTAGATGGATGCACCTATGTGCTCTGTGTCTGGGGAAAAAATGATACAGGTAGTCCTTGACTTATGACCAGTTACAAGCCTCAACTTATGACCTGCCGTTTGCAGTGTCCGGTGGTCATGTGATTTATGATATTTTTATCAGAAATTTCTGGTTTCCAGCATAAAATATCCCATAGGGAAGATAATGTTCCCTGAATTACTGCCTCGTTCGCTTTATGACCACTGGAAAATCGGTCATAAAATCAGGCACCGTAATAGGACAATCACTTAACCACCATGGACACTTATGACCCAAACTGCAGGCTCAGTTAAGGGCTGTTTAAATCCAGGACTACTTGCATCTGGGATAATAGGCTGTTGCTTCTTGAGCAGGAAATCAAGAAGTATTTCCTGGATTGAGTTCCAGGAAATGTTAGTTTGTTTATTCATTAAATTTGCCGTCCATCTCACTGCAAGGTTAGTGGTTTAGTTTTGGCAATTTGGAGATGTCTCTCTCCAGAGAAGCCAGTCCAAACTTGGGGTCTCTTTCCAGTGTAATCCTGCAACTCGTTTTGGTTTTATTTGGGGGTTTTCCCCCTTGGATCTCTTCAGCCCCATTTTATGACATGACTCGATCTTACGACTTTCCGGTTTCAGCCTGCTTGTTATGCCTTCCCTGCATGCTTTGAATTTGCTGAGTAAATATAATGTCGGTCTAGGGTGACCTGGAATCGAGATTTGATTGAAAAGTAAGGCCAAACTTGCCTTCCGGTCAGAAGGTGGAGCTTTTGCTGTCGAAAATGTTTAGCGCAGCAGAGATTAACAAGCGGAAATCCACCAGAATGGCCTCCTTAGAGATTTTAAATGCCTGCCTTGTTTTTTAAAATGTATTTCAAATTAAGGTGGCTCAGACTCTTGTGTTATTCTTATTTAGAATAAGAACAAGATTTATTCAGTAAACCAGAGTTAGCTAGGTCATGACGTTGAGTGCAAACCCAATCTAAAATATATAAGTTGTGGGGTATATAGAAATGGAATTTGGGAGGGCAAGAACTGTCCATTTTTTAAAAGGCGAAGTTTTCTACGAATCAAAAAGAAAAGATTCAGTATGTTCCCCTTTGGCACAAATGTGATAATTTTGCAAACTTTTGTTTTTAAAAACATGAAAATTTTCCTATACTTTTAACATTTCATATGCAGGTGGCATGCCTCAAGGGTTGATACTTTTCTCTTTTTTTGTTTTGCTTGTTATTCCTTGCTGTTATGTTCTTCCAGTTTTTTATTTTTTTTTTGTAGTTTTTGTTCATTTGTTTTTGGTAAGTAGTTGGGTTTGAGGGGTCTTTTTGTCTTAGGAAAACCATTTTCAATAAAATAAATGTTAAAAAATAGTTGTAGCGTAAATGGATGGAAGAACATTAAAGAGAGAAACCACCTGGAACTAAGGAGAAATTTCCTGACAGGGAGAACAATTAACCAGTGGAACAACCTGCCTCCAGAAGTTGTGAATGCTCCATCACAGAAGGTTTTGAAGAAGAGACCAGACAGCCACTTGAATGGGATGGGATGGGGTCTCCTGCTTGAGCAAGGGATTGGACTAGGACCTCTGAGTCCCATTCCAGCCATAATGTCAGACCTGCCCCGGTTTGCTCTCTCAGGAAAGCAAGACTCGTGACTCCGTTTAGCTGAAGCAAAGGGACTTTTACTGAAAGAACCTGGTTCCAGCAAATTCAGTCAGAATCTGGTGTTCCCGCACAAAATACAAAGCTCTCTCCTTTCCAACTCCCCCCCCCCCCGACCAGTCCCCCGGGCAGCCAATGTGATGCCAGTGAGATGCTTTGAGGTGCAAAATGGGTAACCTTCCATTCTCAGGGCAAATGGCCTAGACCAGTGGTTCTCCACCTGTGGGTCGGGACCCCATTTGGGGTCGAACGACCATTTCACGGGGGTCGCCAAACAACACAGTCCGCCATTCCCCCCCCCCCTTTTCCTTAGCTGTGCTACTCCCTTTTATTCTACTGGCTTTTGAAAGCCAATAGAATAGACTCTCTTGAATAGAGTCTAATTCTATTGGCTTTCCAAAGCCAATAGGAACTGTCCAGGCTGTCTCTGCCCTGCTGAGCCTGCCAAAAGTCCCATTCCGCAAACGGGGCTGCACCAATTGAGTAGTCCTCGACTTACGACCGGTTGAGTAGTCCTCGACTTACGACCGGTTGGGGGGTCGCAGCATTAAAAAGGTTGAGAACCACTGGCCTAGAAGATCCTGGTACAAGCCGGTTTGGTGATCCGGTCTTCTTCTGTTGTCACTTCCCCCTCCCCATTTCCCACCATTAGATACAATCCACAGGTGTGCCTTCCTCCTTCCTTCCCATTTGATGGTAGGAGCCCAGCCAGGTGCCAGGCCAACAGTGGAGATCCTGACACTGAGGTTTCTATGTTCCATGAGGTAGATAGATAAGATACATGATAGATAGATAAGATAAGATAAGATAGATGATGATATAATAGTAGTAGTAGTAGTTATAATAATAATAATAATAATAATAATAATAATAATAATAAAGTTGGAAGGGACCTTGGAGGTCATCTAGTCCCTGCTCAGGCAGGAAACCCTACACCATTTCGGACAAATGGCTGTCCAGTCTCTTCTTAAAAACTTCCAGTGTTGGAGCATTCACCGCTTCTGGAGGCAGACTGTTCCACTGGTTAATTGTTCTCCCTGTCAGGAAGTTTCTCCTTAGTTCTAGGTTGCTTCTCTCCTTGATTAGTTTCCATCTGTTAGATAGATAGATAGATAGATAGATAGATAGATAGATAGATAGATAGATAGATAGATAGATAGATAGATAGGCAGGCAGGCAGGCAGGCAGGCAGGCAGGCAGGCAGGCAGGCAGGCAGGCAGGCAGGCAGACAGACAGACAGACAGACAGACAGACAGGTAGGTAGGTAGGTAGACAGACAGACAGACAGATAGATAGATAGATAGATAGATAGATAAAGATAGATGATAGATAGATATAGACAGTTAAAGATAGACGATAGATATATGATAGATAGAAGATAGATAAAGATAGATGATAGATAGATATAGATAGATGATAGATATAGATAGATAGATAGATGATAGATATAGATAGATAAGATAGATGATAGATAGATGACGGGCGGGTGGATGGATGGACAGACGGACGGACAGACTGACAGACAGACAGACATGATAGATGAGAGAGGATGGATGGATGGATGGATGGATGGAAAGAATAGTTTGCTTCCCAGAGTTGTGGGGGCTCCATCACTGGAGGTTTTCAAGAAGACCCTGGACAGCCATTTGTCTGGGATGGTGTAGGTCAGACATGTCAGATACAAGGCCCGGGGGCTGGATGCGGCCCGCAACGTGGTTTCATGTGGCCTGTGGCCATCCTGGAAACAGGAAATGGCCCCCGCTGCCTTGGCCCAGGCCCAGGCCCAGCCAATGTACAATTGGTGGCCCTCTATGCTGAAACGCATTCAGTCTTAGCTCCACAAGGCCGTCTGGAAACAGCGAGGAACCAGCCCCTGCCGCGTCGGCCAAGCCCCTTGGGTGCCTGCTGGGGAGGTGTCACCCTTTGTGAGGAATGAAGAAATGCACCATCGCCCGGAAGTGGCCAGCAAATGGCCCTTGCCTACTTCACATATCTGGCTTGATGGGCTCCAGGGAGGGGTTTCGGCAGGCTCTTCCAGTGGACCATACCTTGGCGCTTGCTCTGGTCCCACCCCCTTCTGCCAGAGACTCTCAGATCTGTCCACTCCTGCCCAGGCCCCCACAGGCACCCTTGACACAAATGATGTAGAGTTGGCCACGCCCACCCAGTAGTCCACACCCACTCCAGCCACGCCCACCCAGTAGGCCGTGCCCACCCTGGCCACACACACTCCCCCGAGGGCAACTGCAGTGCTGATGCGTCCCTCAATGAAATTGAGTTTGACCCCCCTGGTGTAGGGTCTCCTGCTTGAGCAGGGGGTTGACTAGAAGACCTCCAAGGTCCTTTCCAGCCTTATGATTCTATCTTCTATATCAGTGGTTCTCAACCTTTCTAATGCCGCGACCCCATAATACAGTTCCCCATGTTGTGGTGACCCCCAACCACTTATACATCACCGGGTGCCAGGGGCGTGGCCAAAGAAAAGGGGGAAAAATGGCGGACAGCCTTGTTTGGCGACCTCCATGAAATGGTCGTTCGACCTCAAATGGGGTCCCAACCCACAGGTTGAGAACCATTGTTCTATATAAATGGAGAATGAGGTTGGGGGCAGTATTTGCCACTCCTGGTCTGTTTTTCTCCTTCCAGAGGAAGAGTTCCATTCCACGTACCTGAATCCGTTGCTGGCGAAGCTACCAGGCCGGCCAATGAAAATGGCCTCCATCCCGAACGGCTCCTTCCCTGAGGAATGGGACTGGCGGGACCATGGGGCTGTCACAGAGGTCAAAAACCAGGTGGGTCTTCTTAGGCTAAGTCCCATGGACAAACGGATGGATTCTGAGATGGGGCCTTGGGTGGGGCTGAGCTCGTTCTGTCTAGGTGCTGATGCCCGACAGTGTTTGGTCAATAGGGCCGTATCAAGTCATGTAGGGCAGGGGTGTCTAACCCTGGCAACTTTAAGCCCTGTGGACCAACTCTCAGAATTCCCCAGCCAGCACAGCTTGATCCTCTATGAGTTAGGCTAGATGTCTCCCCAGGACGGTGTTTCTGTCCCTTAGCAACTTCAAGATGGGTGGACTTCAACTTTCCTCGCTTTGCTGGCTAGGGAATTCTGGGACTTGAAGTCTACCCATCTTAAAAGTTGCTAAGGTTGAGAAAGATTGCCCTAAAGCAGTGTTTCCCAAACTTGACAATTTTAAGGCATGAGGACTTCAACTCCCAGAATTCCACAGCCAGTAACGCTGGCTGTGGAATTCTGGGAGTTGAAGTCCACATGCCTTAAAATTGTCAAGTTTGGGAAAGACTGCCCTAAAGCTTGGATGGAGCTTTTCTTTCTTTTTTTTTTTTTTCTAAATTTTATTGAATAAAAAAAAGGAATTAAAAACATTGAACATGGTAAATCAACATGTGACAAACATCTCAGTCCATATTTACATTAATTACAAATAAATCTCTTTACAGTAACATCATTCTAATCTCAATCTTGGCTTTTCTCATTACAATGACCTCCATTTTTCCCCCCACCATCTATATAATTTATTCCATATTTGATAAAAGTCTGATTCATCCTGATTTTTTTAATCTTTCAGTTATCCTGTCTAATTCTGCGCAATACATGGCTTTCTGAATTAATGTTTCCCCACTCGGTACATCCGTAGCTTTCCATTTTTGAGCAAATAATATCCTCGCCGCTGTAACCACGTGTGAATGAATAAATATGTGTCATCTTTACTTACATTTTGTTCAAGTATTCCTAACAGCAATGTCTCAGGTTTGTACTGAATGTTTTGCCTAGTCATTTCTATTGCCCAATCCCAGACCATACGCCAGTACACCTGTGCTTCTCTACATGTCCACCAAACATGGAAAAAAGTGCCCCTTTTTTACGTTTCCAACACATAGATGAATATCCGTCATACATTTTGGCTAATCTGGCTGGAGGGAGATGAGGATGGAGCTTTTCTGATGCTGTTTGTGTTGTCTCTTCTTCTCTCTGCAGGGCGACTGTGGCTCGTGCTGGGCCTTTTCTGTAACGGGCAACATCGAAGGACAGTGGTACCTTCGCAAGGGCACTTTGCTCTCCCTCTCTGAACAAGGTAACTGAGGGGCTGGGAGGATTTGCCCTGTTGGGAAATACGGATCCACTCCCAGGCCATGTTTTGTGGGTGCTTATTTATTTATTTATTTATTTGTTTATGAGACTTATATACCGCTTTAAGTGCGAGCACTCTCTAAGCCAGTGGTTCTCAACCTTTCTAATGCCGCGACCCCATAATACAGTTCCCCATGTTGTGGTGACCCCCAACCACTTATGCATCACCGGGTGCCAGGGGCGTGGCCAAAGAAAAGGGGAAAAAAATGGCGGACAGCCTTGTTTGGCGACCCCCGTGAAATGGTCGTTCGACCCCAAATGGGGTCCCGACCCACAGGTGGAGAACCACTGCTCTAAGCTGTGTACACCAGTAAGCAATGTATATATATATTTACATTGCCCCCAACAAACCACTGCTCTAAGCGGTGTACACCAGTAAGCAATGTATATATATATTTACATTGCCCCCAACAAACCACTGCTCTAAGCGGTGTACACCAGTAAGCAATGTATATATATATTTACATTGCCCCCAACAATCTGGGTCCTCATTTGACCTACCTCGGAAGGATGGAAGGCTGAGTCAACCTTGAGCCGGTGAGATTTGAACTGCTGACCTGCTGAACACAGTCAGCTAAAGTGGCCTGCAGTACTGCACTCTTAACTGCTGCGCCACCTCGGCTCTATTCTATTCTACTCGACTCGACTCGACTCGACTCGACTCGACTCGACTCGACTCGACTCGACTCGACTCGACTCGACTCGACTCGACTCGACTCGACTCGACTCGACTCGACTCGACTCTACTCTACTCTACTCTACTCTATTCTTCATTCCATTATTCTATTTATTTATTTATGAGACTTATATACCGCTTTAAGTGCGAGCACTCTCTAAGCACATTGCGCCCCCAACAATCTGGGTCCTCATTTGACCTACCCCGGAAGGATGGAAGGCTAAGTCAACCTTGAGCCGGTGAGATTTGAACCGCTGACCTGCTGAACACAGTCAGCTAAAGTGGCCTGCAGTACTGCACTCTAACTGCTGCGCCACCTCGGCTCTATTCTATTCTATTCTATTCTATTCTATTCTATTCTATTCTATTCTATTCTATTCTATTCTTCATTCCATTATTCTATTTATTTATTTATTTATGAGACTTATATACCGCTTTAAGTGCAAGCACTCTCTAAGCGGTGTACACCAGTAAGCAATGTATATATGATATATATATATATATATATATATATATAATATATATATATATATATATATATATATATTTACATTGCCCCCAACAATCTGGGTCCTCATTTTCCCTACCCCGGAAGGATGGAAGGCTGAGTCAACCTTGAGCCGGTGAGATTTGAACCGCTGACCTGCTGAACACAGTCAGCTAAAGTGGCCTGCAGTACTGCACCCTAACTGCTGCGCCACCTCGGCTCAATAGATAGATTGCTTCTCTCCTCAACTGGTGATGTTCAACCAAATCAGGAGGAAGGAAGCTTTATGTCCTTAGTGGTCAATCAACGGGCTTTGGGAAGTCTCGACAACACTTTCAGGTTACGCTGTGGCTGCCGGGAAATGTTGCTGTTGTTCCTAGTGTTGGTCTGATGGGGAGGACCTGGAGAAGGTCTCAGAACCAGGTGCAACAAGAGCTGGGGTTCAGTTGGCTTCTCCCACAGTCTTGACGGAAAAGGACCATCCAAGGTCACCCAGATGTCTTCTGCATCTAAGGAGGCCTGGAACTTGAGTCACTTCCCTGGTCCGAGGCCAGCCCTTTCCACACTAGAACAGAATCCGATGGGGCCAGAATCCCCTAGGAAACTTCTAGACTGGAGGTCTGACACAAAGCGGGGCTCCCAGCTCCTAAGCCAACGCCTTCCCCATTCGATCACAGTGGCCGTCATCCCTGCTGACAAATCATTAACAAAATAAATTAAGGTAAATAATGCCCTTTCCTACCCCGTTATGGATTGCTAAGCAACTTGGTGGCCTTCTTGACATGTTCAGAAGTTCTATGACCTTATGCTTTATGAACACATGTTAGGTATACCCACTGTAGCTCCCAATAGCTTAGAGCTGGGGTAGGCAACCTTGGCTCTTTTATGACCTGTGGACTTCAACTCCCAGAATTCCTCAGCCAGCATGGCTCAGCTTGGAAACCTCTCCCTTTTCCCTCAGCATGGCTGGCTCAGGAATTATGGGAGTTGAAGTCCACGAGTCATAAAAGAGCTAAGGTTGCCTACCTCTGGCTTAGAGCCTCCAAGGTCTGAATCCAGGGCTTATGGGAAAGGCTACATTGGATGTAGATGTTTCACCAGGACATTGTTTCTGAAGTTTAACAACTTGAAGATGGGTAGACTTTAACTCCCAGAACTCTGGGAATTGAAGTCCACCCATCTTCAAGTTGATAAGGTTCAAAAACATTGCCCTGGGCCTAGGGGAAGTTCATGAACTTAAACATGTGCCTGCACCCATCTCCAGCATCCAGTGGACCTTCATCCTACCTTCTCCCTCTACAGAGCTGGTAGACTGTGATGTTATCGACAAAGCCTGCGGAGGTGGCCTGCCTTCTAATGCTTACGAGGCTATTGAGAAGCTGGGTAAGTCTGCAAGGGGCCAAACTATGTTTCTTGCAAGATGAAGCTGGACTTGTTTTGGGGAAGGTGGCACTTCGTCAGTCTCGCCGTGTCTACAGAGAAGAAGGGTTTGAAGGCTTGTGGGGTCCTTGGTGGGAGGGAGGGAGGGAGGAGGAGGAGGAGACTGTGGGGTCCTTGGTGCTCTCTGAGCTTTGTTGTTTTCTTGCACATGTTTCATGACCCAGCTAAGTAAATTATCAGTGCTAGAAGGAAGTTGGGTTTTAGGACAGGAGGAGGTGGAGAAGGAGGAGGCTGTGGGGTCCTTGGTGTTCTCTGAGCCTGGTGGTTTTCTTGCAGATGTTTCATGACCCAAGTAGGTTAGGACAGGAGGAGGAGGAGGAGAAGGAAGAGGACTGCGACTGGGACTGGGGGATCCTTGGTGTTCTGGGCTTTTGTGATTTTCTTGCAGACGTTTCATGACCCAACTAGGTAACATCATCAGTTCTCCTGCTTGAGCAGGGGGCTGGACTAGGACAGGGCTTTTCAACCGGTGGTACGTGTACCACCTGTGGTACTTTGCTACCGTGGCAGATGGTACATGACTGCTAGCCAAGTGTAGCAGGGGAGGGGAATGAACCGAAGCTACCCAAGCCTGAGGGAGAGGCAGCTGCAGTTGCAAGACTGTCTGGGCTCGGTGTGGTTTGGGTGGGAAAGGGGAAAAAAAGACAACAGGGAAAGAGGAAGAGAGCTCAGCAGGCAGGGAGGAAACAGGGACAGAGAAGAAGCTATTGCTGGAAGAAAAGGTCCCCTGGTTCGTTTTCTCCAAGCAGGAGAATGCAATCAGTCGGCATGTCAGAAAGGAGGTGGGTTTATTTAGTTCTGGATCAGCTGGCAGCTTGATTGGGTTACCATAAAGATTTTTGTACAGTTTTTACAGCGTTTTGTAATTCAGAGGCTCCCTTTGTGTGCTTTGGTTATTGGAATATTTTAGTCTGTATTTTAGGCTAGCAATGAGTCCAAAGTGTTGACTTCCATAGGTTTAATCCCTTTAAAGAAATGTAATTAGTTTTGCTCCCTTATCTTGAGTCTGTCTGTGGCTTTTAGAAAGTTTTCTTTGAAGGTAAAACAGGCTTAATTTAAGGCTAAACCTTTTCGCAATTGCCAAAGCCTTTCAGTCTCCGATTGCAACATTGTGCCTGAGGCAGCTTAAAGAGAAAAACAAAACAAAACCGGAGTTTACGTGTTTCTTTATTTTGTGAGCCTTTCTTGCTTTGCACTTGATTCCTGTGTCTTTAAAGGTACAGGGAAGGGATTGGGGGCGGGAGTGCATTCTTACTACACTGTTGAAAGAGCTCAGAAGGGAGAGAGGAAGAAGAAGAACTTAGCAACTTTTAAGACCTGTGGACTTCAACTCCCAGAATTCTTCATCCAGCCATGATGGCTGAGGAATTCTGGGAGTTGAAGTCCCCAAGTCTTAAAAGTTTGAAGACCCCTGAGCTAGCTGGTGGTGATGCATATTAATAAACATGGATAAATTCATCATACATTTGTCAGTTCAAAGGAAAAATGATTCAACAAAGGAACAGCCACCAAAGAAATTAAAACTGGTACTTTTTTACTTTTTTTCTACAGTTTGTAATATTTTATTAGATTATAGAATAAAATATGAAAATACAACAGCAAATAGTAGGACACGGTGGGGAGGAAAAAGGGGGGAAAGTGAGGAGGAGAAGGGAAAAACAACAGATTTCCTCTGTTGCAGTAGTGGGAAGCATTAACAGTAGAGGGAAGCATTAACCCCAACTTTTTACTTTTCCATAATAGTATAAATTAGCCATTTCTATAACAACAAATGAATCTAATCAGTAAAACCCAAAATCCCCCCCCTTTTATTTAGTCATTAAGTTTTTGACACCTTGCTATAAGCACTAGTGGTACTCAAATATTGTCATGTGCTAAAAGTGGTACAATCTGTGAAAAGGTTGAAAAGCCCTGGACTAGAAGACCTCCAAGGTCCCTTCCAGATTCTATTCTATTCCATTCCATTTTCTATTCCATTCCATATTCTATTCTATTCTATTCTATTCTATTCTATTCTATTCTATTCTATTCTATTCTATTCTACTATACTCCACTCTACTCTACTATACTCTACTCTACTCTACTCTACTCTACTCTATTCTTAATTCTAATTCTTATTCCATTCCATTCTCACCCATTCTCCTATTCTGTTCTATTCTATTCTATTCTATTCCATATTTTCTATTCTATTCTGTTCCATTCCAAATTTTCTATTCTATTCTATTCTATTCTATTCCTAATTCTAATTCTAATTCTTATTCCATTCCATTCTCACCCATTCTCCTATTCTGTTCTGTTCTATTCTATTCTATATTTTCTATTCTGTTCTGTTCCATTCCATTCCATTCCAAATTTTCTATTCTATTCTATTCCATTCCATTCCATTCCATTCTCACCCATTCTCTATTCTATTCTATTCCTCATTCTTATTCTTATTCCATTCCATTCTCTCCCATATTCTATTCTATTCTGGAGGGAGGTTTTAGGACAGGAAGAGGAGAGGAGGAAGAGGCTAATTAGTCTTTGCTTCAGACTGGACTTTTTAAACAGAAAACAGGCTTTCTGTGCAGAGAGCAACTCGGAGAAATGAATTGCTCTTTTGTGTGGTGTTTTGCTGAGCAAGCAGTCCTGGACGGGTGATGTTGAGGCCATCGGCTTCCGAAGCTTCTGCTATTTGTCGTTGTTTCAAGCAAAAGTCTGCTTTGTGCCTGTGGGGAGCAGCCCCACCTGGTCTGCCCTCTTCAAAGCTGGGTTGTCAGACTTAAGAGGGGCTGAGTAAAGGTAGTCCTCATTTTGCAACCAGAATTTCTGTTGCTAAGTAAGGTGGTTGTTCAGTGAGTTGTGCCTGATTTTACAACCTTTTTGCCTGGTTGTTTAGTGAATCACTGCAGTTGTTAAATGAATCACATGGTCATTAAGCAAATCCATTTTCCTCCATTGAATTTGCTTGTCAGAAGCTGTCTGGGAGGGTCACAAATGGTGATCATGTGACCCTGGGATGCTGTGACCATCGTAAACAGATGCAGGTTTCCAAGTGCCTGAATTTTGATCACGTGGTCCTGGGGATGTTGCAGTGGTTGTAAGCACGAGGACTGGTCATAAATGACCTTTGTCACCCCATTGTAACTTTGAATGGTCTCTAAAGGAACCAGTGTAACTCAAGGGCCACCTGTCATAGCTGAACTAGATTTCAAAAAGGCCTGATTCATTTATGAACAGGACTACAGTATAGGTAGTCCTCAACTTACGACCTCAATTGAGCCCAAAATTCCTGTTGCTAAGTGAGACATTTCTTAAGTGAATTTTGCCCCATTTTATAGTCTTTCTTGCCACATTTGTTGAGTCAATCACTGCAGTTATTAAGTTACTCACACGGTTGCTAGGTGGATCCGGCTTCCCCCGTTGACTTTTCTGGTCAGACGGTTGCAAAAAGGGATCAGGTGACCCCGGGACACTGCAACCGTCATAAGTACATGCCAGTTGCCAAGCATCTCAATTCTGATCACGTGACCCTGGGGATGCTGCAATAGTCGTTAAGTGTGAAAAATGGTCATTTTTTCAGTGCCATTGTAACTTTGAACGGTCACCATATGAACTGTTGTAAGCCGAGGACTGCGTGTATTCTAGTGTATTGCACTATTTTTTCTCCTGAGAGTTAAAAATAAGAATTGCCCGACAACCTTTGGAAGCTGGATCCAAGACCGGAGGCTGTTCCGCTCATTGAGTCTCAGTTTTCCTAACAATAACCGAAGGATTTTTCTTCTGCTTTCAACATGGCTCTAAAGTTTCCTTTGATTTTCCCAACCGGAGTCTCTGTTTCCCTTCTGATTTTCCCAATTTCCTTCTGGAACTTTCCTTGGATGAGGTTTCTGCCTTGCCTTTTTCCAGGTGGCCTGGAGACCGAGGGAGATTACAGATACCGAGGTTTTGAGCAGAACTGCGGCTTCTCCAGGCAGAAAGTGGCTGCTTACATCAACAGCAGCCTGGGCGTCTCCCACGACGAGAGCGGTGCGCATCATTCCGTGACTTTGGCTCAGTTGGTCTCTAGGAAGGAAGTTGCTTGCAAAGCAGTACAGATTAAGAAGAAGGAAGTAAAAGGGATAAGTAAAGAGAACAGAAATCAAAAGACAAACGGAAAAAGGGAGGGAGCGAGGGAGGAAGAGAAAAAAAGGAAAGAAAAGAGAGGAAGGAAAGGAAAATAAAGAAAGAAGAAAGAAAGCGTAAGAGAAAAAGGAAAGGAAACAAAAGATGAAAGGGAAGAGAAGGAAAAGGAAAGGATTGCCTTAATGCAGTGTTTCCCAAACTTGACAATTTTAAGGCATGTGGACTTCAACTCCCAGAATTCCACAGCCAGCATTGCTGGCTGTGGAATTCTGGGAGTTGAAGTCCACATGCCTTAAAATTGTCAAGTTTGGGAAACACTGCCTTAATGTATGACCGCAATAACGTAGAACTGTAATTCCATGCACAATTATAGTCATAACTCGAGACTACCTTATAGGATGATGTAGTAACTCCTGCAGTGCATGTATATCCACACTTGTCAGCAGTTTTCACTTGAATGATGCGTGAGAACTTTTCTTTCGCGGGGCAAAGGGTGGGACCTCAGGCAGCACCCTTTCCTTGGGCCAGGTGCCCCCCCCCCCTTACCTGTGCTCCTCTCTCCTTGGACAGAGATTGCAGCCTGGCTGGCCAAGAACGGTCCCATCTCCATTGCTCTGAACGCCTTTGCTATGCAGGTGAGAGACTCACAAAAGAGGCAGAGGTTCTGGAAAGAGGGCAGAGAAGAGCAACTAAGGTGCTCAGGGGGCTGAAGGCTAAAACATACAAAGAACGGTTGCAGGAACTGGGTATGTCTAGTTTAATGAAAAGAAGGACCAGGGGAGACATGATAGCACTGTTCCAATATTTGAGGGGCTGCCACAGAGAAGAGGGGGGTCCACCTATTCTCCATAGCACCTGAAGGCAGGACAAGAAGCAACGGATGGAAACATCTGTACCACTTTATACGGCCTTGGTGAGGCCACACTTAGAATAACTGCATCCAGTTCTGGTCACCATAATATAAGAAAGATGTTGAGACTCTAGAACAGTGGTTCTCAACCTTTTTAATGCCGCGACCCCCAACCAGTCGTAAGGCGAGGACTACTCAACCGGTCGTAAGTCAAGGACTACTCAACTGGTGCAGCACCGTTTGCAGAATGGGGCTTTGGGCGGGCTCAGCAGGGCAGAGACAGCCTGGACAATTCCTATTGGCTTTTGAAAGCCAATAGAATTAGACTCTATTCAAGAGAGTCTATTCTATTGGCTTTCGAAAGCCAATAGAATAAAAGGGAGTAGCCCAGCTAAGGAAAAGGGGGAAAAAATGGCGGACTGCGTTGTTTGGCGACCCCCGTGAGATGGTCGTTCGACCCCAAATGGGGTCCCAACCCACAGGTTGAGAACCACTGCTCTAGAAGGAGTGCAGAGAAGAGCAACAAAGATGATTAGGGGACCGGACGCTAAAATATATGAAGAACGGTTGCAGGAATTGGGCATGGCAAATCTAGAGAAAAGAGGGACCAGCGGTGACATGATAGCAGTCATGTCATTTGAGGAGTTGCCACAGAGAAAGGGGGGGGGTCAACCTATTCTCCAAAGCACCAGAAGGCAGGAGAAGCAGCAACAGATGGAAACTAATCACAGAGAAGAGCAACCCCAGAACTAAGAAATTTCCTGATAATGAGAACAATTAACCAGTGGAACAGCTTGCCTCCAGAAGTTGTGGGTATTCCATCACTGGAGGTTTTTAAGAAGAGATTGGACAGTCATTTGTCTGAAATGTTAGAGAGTTTCCTGCTTGGGTAGGGGGTTAGACTAGAAAACCTCTGAGGTTCCTTCCACGTCTGTATTCTGGGGTCTTGTTTGCCATAATTACATTTAAGTTTTCTTCTCTCTTTCTCCAGTTCTACCGCAAAGGCATTTCCCACCCTTTCTTCGTGCTCTGTAATCCCTGGATGATCGACCACGCGGTCCTTTTGGTGGGCTATGGCACACGTGAGTGGCTGTTTTGTGTTGAGAAAATCTTGTGGGATGTCTGTGAGTGTGTCTTGATTTCTGGTTCTTTATTCTGGGTTTTTTTCTTTCCTAATCTCCTTTTTTGTAACTCGTATGTGCTTTTGACTCTGTTCCCTGGGATGGCAGAACTGGGCCATCACTTTGGAAATGAACGTTACCCTGCTTCGTAGGGCTGCACAAGCTGGCTTGGAGCTGGCAGACCTGAACGAAAGAGGCAAACACATTTCATTCCAGTGTGTTTCAGGGTGGAAAACCAAAACCAGCCCTTCCTCTCCTTCCCCCAACACTTGGAAGCTCAGAATAGGTTAAAATTTTGATGTTTAAACATGTGAGTTTATTTTTGGAGCATGAATGCTCCTGAACAGAAGCTGATTCCTTTCACACGATCACTTTTGACTCTGCATTCAGTATGGAGGAGACTATTTTCACCCTGAACGTATTTCCGCTATCTGCAAAGCACCGTAGGAAATCCTTCCATCAGAACTAAAAGCCAAAACTCACTTTCGCAGTAGGGATCTCTTTGATTCAGTGTTTCACAATGTTGGCAACTTTAAGAGGGCTGGATTTCCACTCCCAGAATTCCCCAACCAGCCATGCTTCATGGGGACTGTGGGAGTTGAAGTCCACCCCTCTTAAAAGTTGCCAAGGTTAAGAAACAGTGTCCAGTCCAACACGTTGAATTCTGGATGGAATTTCTCCTTCTCACAACTCCATTTGGCCCAGCTGGGGATAATGGGAGTTGTGATCAGCTGTTTCCTGAGAACCTGCTCTGCTTTCTTTTCTGAGTCGTTCCCTGGAAGCGAGCGGCATGCAGGGCCATTTTGTGACCGTTGTGTCTCCTTCCCGCAGGTGGCCAAATTCCCTTCTGGGCGATCAAGAACAGCTGGGGCCAAGACTGGGGAGAGAAGGTATGGCTGGGACTCTGATCAGTGGGGAGGTGGGTGGGAGGAGGGGGGTCCTCCAGTGGGGCTATTACAGGCAGTCCTCAACTTACAACAGTTCATTTAGTGACTGTTTAAAGTTCCAACAGCACTGGAAAAAGTAATTTATGACCGTTTTTCACACTTATGACCGTTGCAGCATCCCCATGGTTATGTGATCAAAATTCAGACGCTTGGCAACTAGTTTGTATTTATGACGGTCGCCGTGTCCCAGGGTCACGTGATCCCCTTTTGTGACCGTCTGGCAAGCAAAGTCAATGGGGAAGCCGGATTCACTTAACGTAACAACTGCAATGCTTCACTTAACAGCTGTGTCATGAAAGGTTGTAAAGTGAGACAAAATTCACTTGACAATTGGTTTGCTTAGCAATGAAAAGTTTGGCTCGGTTGCTGTCATAAGTCGAGGACTACCTGTACGCCACTTCTCCTTCTGAGCTTTGAGTTGCTTGTCTCCTCTCTCCTACAGGGCTACTACTACTTGTACCGAGGGAGCCACGCCTGTGGCATGAACACCATGTGCAGCTCCGCAGTCATAATTTAGCCAGCTTCGTTTTCTCTGTCGCCTCCCTAGTGCTGATGCTGGCATCTGGGCAGCGTCTGCCAAGGAGTCCCACCAGGCCTTTTAGAGACTGGCACCTGCCCCTCCCCCCCATGGAAAGCAACAGCCCAGAGAACTGGAGCTTCATCCCACCGGGACAGGGGTGTCAAACTGCCGGACCACCGGACGGTTGCATCATGCAGAGGCTGCGCCTACCCCAGCTCCGGCAATGCAAAAAAAGTTGCGATATATCGCAACACATCACGTGACACGGCGAGTTTGACACCACGCACTAGGATCACCTTACGGGTCCAGAATCAGCGACTATGTACCTGTTGGTATGTGTGTGTGTGTGTGTGTGTGTGGAATACACATTTGCTCCTCTCCATGAATCAGCCTTTCGCTTCCTCTGTCTCTTCCACCAACTCATTTTTCAATTATTTTTTTCCTTGTGGGCTGCAGACCTGCAAGATCCTAAGTTTGCTTTGTTTTAACTTTGATTAATATATATATTTTTTTTGCGGGTACAAAACCCACCAGGCAATTATGGTTCTGTGTATTGTTTGAGCCCAGGATTGAAAATGTAGCTAGTCCTCAACGACCACAATTGGGAACTGAGTTTTCGTTGCTAAGTTACACAAGTGTTAAGCGAGTCATGTCTGATTTTACTAGCTTTTTGCCCATGGCTGTTAAGCAAAACACTATAGTTGTTAAATGAATCACATGGTCATTAAATGAATCCAGCTTCCCCCCCTTAACTTTGCTGGTTGAAAGGTCGCAGATGGCGATCACGTGACGCTAGGTTGCGGCAACCATGTTGAACATTTGCCAGATGCCAAGGACCCAAAATTTGATCACGTGACCATGGGGATGCTGTGATGTAAGACACTTTTTTCAGTGCTTTGAGTAGTTCACACACAAATCACTGTAAGTCGAGGGCTACCCATAGCTAAACATAGAGTTCCTGCAAGTCGAGATGGGTGGCAAGCAAATCTGTTAAATAAATACATAAAAATATTATATCAGTGCAACCATTTGGAACTCAGAGGGAACCGATCCTTAAAGTTCCAGCCCCGCCAATTATTTTTCATTAAGTTTTCAGATGATAGGCCTGCTTCCATGCAGGAAGGCGACGTAATAAGTTATGGAGGGCAGAGTAAATTTTGTTCTCGGTCAGTTACAGGGGAGAGTCCTGACTTGAGAACTTCTACCAGAAGTATAGCGGTGTCCATAGTGTGCTAGTTGAATGTGTGGTCTGACTTCTTGTAATTTTAACTTAAAACAAATCTGTATTAGAAGGATGTTCTGAGAAATTCCTCTTCCTTGCGAGAGCCCCTTTGAGGGACTTTGTCAGTAGTGAGCATCAGTATTCTTTTCTTGGACTTGAAACCCAATAAAATGCACTTGTAACAAAAATATCTGTTTCTTAAGAATCAATACACCAGCATCTTTTTTTTTCTCCACCCCTTTCTGAGCACTCCTGTTCTTCTCCCTTTGGGGTTAGTCACAATCACAAATGGGGTAGTTTCCTGAGCCTGAAGGTATAGGCGTTTGCAGGGTGCCTGGGGTTGTGCTGGGGTGTTTCCTGAGCTGCCTTGCAGGAGTTGGAGAACGAGAGGTTTGGGAAGCTGCAAAAGGTCCCCAGGTTCATATTTTTAATCCCCTGCTCAGGAAAATAATGTTGGCAGTATTACAATTTATATGCACCTTACGGGATTCTTTAAGGTCATCTAAAATTGGTTGAGCTCAACAAACTTGTGTTTCACTGTTCACGGCAATAGAAATTTGGAGGGAGGTTCAAAAGACTTGGGGGGAGGGATCCTTCCTCTTGGGTGGTGGGCATCACAGTCCCTGCAGCAAATCTTTGCAAAATCCGGCATGTACACAAGCACACCCTTGTTTGAATTGCAAGCTTGAAAACTTAGATGGGGAATATTGTTACAGAAATAAATAGAGCAATGGACGTTTTTTTTCTCTTTTGGGTCTCTGCAGGATGCTCCCAAAAAACAGTTGCAGTTTCTAGCTGTCTCCTAGTGGGATCTCCAAGGGTCATTAAGTCTGGTTTAAGTGAGACTCCAGCATTTGCCCCCAGAGTAACTGACATAGTAGCAACTGGCAAACATGTATGCATTCCACTCACTGAACCACCCCAAAAGGGCTGTGACAGTGGAATCTTGATTTAACTATTGTTACCCTTGCTATAATTTGGTTTGCACGATTCAGATCCACAGGGTTGTCTTTTGGCTTTTAATTTTGATTTCTTTGTTGAACTAAGCAAAATACCACAGATGAAGAAGAAAAAGAACAAACATGCAACCTTTTATGATCTTGAGATACATTTTAAACATCCATAAATTATGGGATTTTTTTAAAACTCAGAATAATGCTCCATATTTTGAAATACCATTAAAGCAAATCCATTTGTTGTTATTAGTTGTTACCTTGGAATCCTAGTGGACGATCACTTGACTATGAGCCAGCAGTGTGCAGCAGCAGCCAAAAAAGCTTAATACAATCCTGGGTTGCATAAATAGAGGCATAGAATCAAGATCACACAAAGTATTAGTACCGCTTTATAAAACCCGAGTGAGACCACACTGGAATACTGCAGCCAATTTTGGTCACTATATCACAAAAAAGATGTTGACAGTTTGGAAAAAATTCAGAGCAACTAAGATGATCCAAGGCCTGGAGACTAAAACATACCAAGAACAGCTGTAGGACTTGGGTTTGGCTAGTCTAAAGAAAAGAAGAAATAGGGGTGACATGATAGCAGTGTTCCAGTATTTGGAGGGCTGCTACAAAGAAGAGGGGGTCAACTATTCTCCCAAGCACCAGATGGCAGGAAAAGAAACAATGGTTGGAAACTGGCCAAAGAGAGAAGCAACCTGGAATTAAGGAGAAACTTCCCGACTGTGAGGAAAATCAGCCAGTGGAACAGCTGGCCTCCAGAAATCGTGGGTGCTCCATCACTGGAGATCTTTAAAAGACTAGACAGTCACTTGTAAGAGATGGTATAGGTTCTCCTGCTTGAGTGGGGGGGCTGGACTAGAAGACCTCCAAGGTCCCTTCCAGCTCTATTCTATGCTATTAGACTATATGATGCGAACATAATGTACATTCAAATCAAGTGACAGGTAATGTTAGTTCTTGTGTTGGGGGCAAGAAACCAGGAACAGGAGTTGAGTTCAAAGCACTAAAAGTTTTATCACATAACCTATGCATAGGAATCTGATCTACTAACACAGTGGTTCTCCACCTGTGGGTCGGGACCCCATTTGGGGTCCAACGACCATTTCACGGGGGTCGCCAAACAACGCAGTCCGCCATTTTCCCCCCCTTTTCCTTAGCTGTGCTACTCCCTTTTATTCTATTGGCTTTTGAAAGCCAAAAGAATAGACTCTCTTGAATAGAGTCTAATTCTATTGGCTTTCAAAAGCCAATAGGAATTGTCCAGGCTGTCTCTGCCCTGCTGAGCCCGCCAAAAGTCCCATTCTGCAAATGGTGCTGCACCAGTTGAGTAGTCCTCGACTTATGACCGGTGGAGTAGTCCTCGACTTACGACCGGTTGGGGGTCGCGGCATTAAAAAGGTTGAGAACCACTGGACTAACAGTTCAAGCCAATTGGTGCTAGATAAGGATCAATGGAATTAGTGGTTTATAGTTTGAGGCAATATTTCTCAACATGCTTTAAGAATATAGACCAATTCCACAGCTGGCTGGCGAATTCTGGCCGTTGGAAGTCCAGCCATCTTAAAATGGCCCAGAAACACACCCTGTCTCCGAGGCTCTGGCCAGCCACCTCAGAAAGGCCCACTCCGTAACTGCAACTCCCCCCCCCCCACAGACACACTCAGACCCCGAGCAACACGTATTAGCAACTGGCTTAGCCTCCCTGGCGCACTCCACCCAAGCCGGAACGACGCGCCCTGCAGCCCTGCGGCCCGGCAGGATCGATTAGGCCGCTGTACCCGGAAGTAGGTCCCTCAGAACCGGAAGCCGGAAGTCACGCTTCTCTTGTTTCGGAGGCGAAGCGAGCTGATAGTCCTTAAGCAGGTATTGTGGGCAGAGTCGGGCCGGGGGGGCTCTGGGCGGGGGTGCATTTCCACGGGGATTGCGGGTGGGGGTCCGCAGGGCTGATGGCCGCCCGTGAGCCGGCTTGGAAGCCGGGGAAGCCCAGGGCAGGCTCGGGATATGGGAAAGGGGTCTTTCGCTGCGCCTGCGGGACTCGCTGCTACTTGATGTGGCCTGTTTGGAGTCAGGATTGTCGGATTATTAGGAGAGTTCGGGTGCCCGTGACCGTGAGGAAGGGGAGTTTGCCTTCTTCACGTGTTCTTATCCTTCTTTATTGTTATTCTTTGTTAACGAATTCTAACAAATTGTTAATAACGTCTAACCCTAACCTAATGGTTAATTTTGTTAATTGCTGATTCGTTATTCTTTATTAATTTGGTAACCCGTGTAATGTGGCTGTACTATTATTACTTATCCTCCTTATTCCCCATTTTATTGGCATTATTATTTTTATTACTATGTTGTTATTGTTTTCCATATACACTCTTTCGTAGCAGACAAATTCCTTGTGTGCCTAATCACACTTGGCCAAATAAAGTATTCATTCTTTGTTGCTTTTATTCAGGTACTCTTAGATTATGCAAAAATGGTACAAAAATGTGGAAAATGGCATTAACAGAGCAATGAATCAATGTAGATACTGAGTTGAGATTTTTTTAAAATAATGGTTAAGGAGAATAACATTTCTTAACAATCAGGCTTTTAAAAATCTCATCTCCCAGCTCTTTCAGAAGTGTGAATGAACCAAAGAGTGAAATCAGCACTGGATCCACACTCTTCCATCTGCAGCAACATCGGCTGGCCCTGGAAACAGGTCTGTCTCTTGAAACTACAAACTGAAGGAATATCTACAGGTAGTCCTTGACATATGACTAAAATGGAGCTCAAAAATTCCATTGCTAAACAGTTGTTAAGTGAGTTTTGCCCCATTTTGTGACCTTTCTTGCCACAGTTGTTAAGTGGCTTCCCCATTGATTTTGCTTGTCACCAGGTGGCAAAAGGAGAATATATGATCCCGGGACGCTGCAGCCGTCATAAATATGAGTCAGTTGCCAAGTGTCTGAATTTTGATCACGTGACCCTGGGGATGCTGCAATGGTCACAATTGTGAAAAATGGTCCCAAGTCACTTTTTTCAGAGCTGTTATCACTTCGAACAGTCACTAAATGAACTGTTATAAGTCGAGGACTACCTGTATTTTATTTTATTAAATTTTTATGTATTGGCTTGAATAAATCTTTTTGCAACTTAACGTGTGATCCTGATTCTTTGTGCCTAACAGATAGAGAGCAGTGCGCCTTATTCTAAGCTCCAGAGAAACAACTGAGAATATTGGGTGGAGCCTGAGGGACAGGTCTAAAATTTACCATCAACTTACATATTATTTTGAAAAAATGGAACACACAGTATTACGTAACGGCCATTGAGTTTGATTTTAGTTTAATTAAAGCACACTGATTTTTTTTCCCTGGCCCTTTCTGCCCAGTTTGGTAGTAAGCTCTCTGCAGGTTAAGTGTCCAAAGCTGTTTGCTTTCTCCGTTTTGAGAGTCAATTTTTAATGGCTTTTTGCAGCATTCAACATTGTGGACGCATCCTGGAAGCAATTCATCTCAGCACAGAAACCGTTTACAGTGGTTAACAGAGCATCATGTCCCAGGCAACCAAGCGCAAACATGTAGTCAAAGAAGTGTTAGAGGAATATGTGGTTCCTTCAGCGAGACAGCAGATTGTCCGGGTAAGACTGATTAACCTAATCTAATTAGCCTGAATCGAGGTTTATGTGGACCTCCAGCGTCTAGAGCAAGGGTTTCAAACTGCCGGCCTGCAGGCCAGACATGTCATGCGGAAACTGCGCCCATCACATTGCCAGCAACGGGGAAAAAGTTCCGATACGTCATGCGACGTCACATGACATCGCAAGTTTGACATGTCTGGTCTAGAGGCTGCGCAAGAGCACACTACACTCTCCCACGGCCTCTAAAAATTGTGTGAGAATTGGGTGTGCTTTCAAGAATAGTTGTGGTCTGGTGTTGTTGAATGTTGGTGTATTGCCCAAACCATTGTGGCATGTCCATCTTGACACACGTGTCATAACTTCACTATCACTGGTCTAGCTGGTAGCTCAGTGTGCCGTGCGAACAGAGACCAATTTCAGATTAAGCCAGAAAACAGGCCGAGTTCTTACCGGCAACTTTGCTCTGCTCTTCCAGGTGCTGGGGACCCCAGGAAACAACCTCCATGAAGTGGAGACCCCTGAGAGGACGCGGTTCCTGGTCAGCATGCCCACCAAGTTCCGTAAGAACATTTGGATCAAGAGAGGTGAGTGGCCAGGGGCCCTTGCACTTGCAAGAGGGAAAATGGCCCTCTTCCACCTATCACAGTTGTCCATCTTTCCCTCCCTCCCTCCAGGAGATTTCTTTTTTTTTTGATGTGTGAAATTTTTTTTAGTGTACTCAAAGAAGGTTAAAATACAGAACGCCAAAATATTTAAAAAAGGGCAAAAGAATAAATAACAAACAAAAAACATTAAAAAAGAAGTGTGTTAAAAAAGTGTCTTAAAGAAAAAACTAATACATATACGCTGCATTAACAGGGATAGAATCAAGATCATGTGAAGTATTAATACCACTCTACAATGCCTTGGTAAGGCCACGCTTGGAATACTGCATCCAGTTTTGGTCACCATGATGTAAAAAAGTTGTTGAGACTCTAGAAAGAGTACAGAGAAGAGCAACAAAGAAGATTAGGGGACTGGAGGCTAAAGCGTATAAGGAAAGGCTGTGGACTTGGGTATGTCTAGTTTAATGAAGAGAAGGACGAGGGGGGACATGATATTAGTGTTCCAATATCTCAGGGGCTGCCACAAAGAAGAGGGAGTCAAGCTATTCTCCAAAGCGCCTGAAGGCAGGACAAGAAGCAACGGATGGAAACTAATCAAGGAGAGAAGCAACCTGGAACTAAGGAGAAACTTCCTGACAGTTAGAACAATTAACTAATGGAACAACTTGCCTCCAGAAGCGGTGAATACTCCAATACTGGAAGTTTTTAAGAAGAGACTGGACAGCCATCTGTCCGAAATGGTGTAGGGTTTCCTGCCTGAGCCAGAGGTTGGACTAGAAGACCTCCAAGGTCCCTTCCAACTCTATTATTATTATTGTTATTATTATTATTGTTATTATTATTATTATTCAGCTGTCAACGCTGTAAACATTGGATGTTCCCACTCTGACAACTGATGAAAAGCGCAGCCATTTTCTCTTTTTGCTTTCAACATGCTTTTCCTTCTATTTAGAAATCAGGTGCAGAAGGGGGGTTGGGATGAATGCTTGAACTCAGCTAGCCATAATCATAAACGCTGCTTTGTGGGAACCCAAGGACAAATTGATAACATTTTGGGGGTCTGGAGAGGGAGCCTGTGTTTCAGGCTAATTGGAGAACGTGATTTATGACTGCTTGTTGGGGTGGGAGTTGCAATTTGTTACTTTGTATTCGGGAAGGGAATTTAGTTTTGGGGTTCAACTACGTAGTGCCGATACTTTGTTTCCTGAATAAAATGTTCTTTAAGGAAGAATTATTGCCTTGAAGTTCTTTTGATGGGTTTCATCTATCGGAACCATGACAACAGCAATGCTAGCTTTCCACCACTTGTGAAACAGGCATAATTATGCATAATTATATTAATAACAAAATAGTTAACAGAAGAAACAATAATAATGAACATACTATATAAAGGTAATAACAATTGTGAACAAAAATAAGAGAAAGACAAGACTGAAATTCCAAAACCCTCTGTGAACTGTTATTATAATCAACTCGGAAAAAATTTATCATGACTTCAATCCCAAATCATCCCAAATATTAATCCTAATTGGTCTCAGATCAAATATGCACATTTGTTTCTTTATACCATCTCTTATCAGTTGCTGATTGAATGAATACAATCAGTCCAATCTCCAAAGCCAATCTATCTTTCCCCCCCAAAAAACAGGTAAAATTGTTCCTCAGGTGTATTAAGTCCGTTTCCCCTCTCCTTCAAATTTCAGGAGATTTCTTACTGGTTGATCCCATCGAAGAAGGCGAGAAAGTGAAAGCAGAAATCACTTTTGTCCTCTACAAGGACCACGTTCGGTACCTTAAGAAGGAAGGATATTGGTGGGTATTTATGCTTTGTAAGATGTCCAGATTTGCCTTATGGAGGAGATGGGCAGCATATCGATTTAATAAAAATAAAGAAATAGAGAGCGAGAGAGCGGTATGTTCTGGACTCTGGAGGGGAAGGAGAGGAAATAGCTTATGTGCCCATTTTCCTTGCAGCATCTTTGATTTAGCAGGAGGAGCTGCTTTCTTTGATCGAATATACTTTCCTGATGGATTTTATTAAGGAACAGAACAGAATAACGGAGTAGAAAGGGACCTTGGAGGTCTTCTAGTCCAGCTCCCTGCTTAAGCAGGAAACCTTAAAAAAGAGTATAAAGCAGTGGTTCTCAACCTTTTTAATGCCGCGACTCCCAACCGGTCGTAAGTCGAGGACTACTCAACCGGTCGTAAATCGAGGACTACTCAACTGGTGCAGCACCGTTTGCAGAATGGGACTTTGGGCGGGTTCAGCAGGGCAGAGACAGCCTGGACTATTCCTATTGGCTTTTGAAAGCCAATAGAATTAGACTCTATTCAAGAGAGTCTGTTCTATTGGCTTTCAAAAGCCAATAGAATAAAAGGGAGTAGCACAGCTAAGGAAAAGGGGGGGAAAAATGGCGGACTGCGTTTGGCGACCCCCGTGAAATGGTCGTTCGACCCCAAATGGGGTCCCGACCCACAGGTTGAGAACCACTGGTATAAAGGGTCTTCACCACAGCTTCTCGGTTTGGGACATGGAAATTCTGAAGGGTGAAATAATTTTTACAAACTATCCTATAGCATTATGTTGACGTTCTTTCTTGTTTTCCCCCTTGCAGGCCTGATGCTTTCTTGGGAGACGTAAAAGGAACTCGAAGCAATACTAAAGAAAGGTAAAGGTGGACAAGATGGGGATGAGAGCTCGTCAGGGGCAGTGGTTAAGATGGTGGTCTAGAAACTAGGAGACAGTGATTTCTAGTCCCACCTTAGGCACAGAAACCAGCTAGGTGACTTTGGGCCATTTGCTGTGAGTTGGTGAGCTCTAATCTTGCCTTAGGCATGAAAACCGACTTGGTGACTTTGGGCCAGTCTCGACCCAACCCACCTTACAGGGCTGTTGTTATGGGGAAAATAGGAGGAAGGAATGTATGTTCACTGCCTTCTGTTGCTTATAAAGTAATAAAGGCAGGATAAAAATCCCAATAAATAAGTAAAATGGGAGACCTGGACACCTATGGGAATGGCTTTTCAAAGGCACTTGCCCAGAAGGGAAGAAATTGCTGAAATTTATTATCAATATTTTATGTTAAGATTTTGAAAAAAAGTCACTTCAGGCTTCAGGAGATGATCTTGGCATTTAAAACAATGGAGCAATAACACGTTTTATTTCAAATGTTGATGCTCAATTGTTTAAAAGCCCTAAACCTCCATTGGTGGATTTCTAATTATTATGATCTTATAATATTAATTGTAATCTAAAGTAGTTTTACCAATCCTGCAATTTCTCTTTGCCCTCCATTGCCTAAGCTGTGGGGAAAATTTGGCAGAAGGTTGTCTGTTTTAACTAGCTTTTGCTCTTAAAATTATTAAACCTTAAAAACAATACATCAGACGGCTAAAATGATTGTTAATATTGTTGGCTTTAAAATCGAACATTTAAACTCTTTTGCCTGAATTATAATTTGATGCAATTTAGCTCAGTTAAAAGTGTGATAGAAATAATTAAAATTGAATGTTTGAAGCTTTCCTCCCCCCCCAAGAACCTTTTTTTAAAATCTTTCTAGTAGAGAGGGCTTAGAAAGCACCCCTCAGTCTTCTGGGGAACAGGATTCTGAAGATGATGACACTGACTTGTTTGTGAACACAAACCGAATAACCTACGACTTTATGGAGAGCGAGGAGAGCAGCGACTCGGAGGAAGAAGAAAAATAACCACCAGCCTTACGGAGCAGAACAAGCCAGCCTGACACCGTGGTCTAACCCAGAAGGAACGTGGCTCGGATCTCAGCCGAAGTGAGCGTGGGCTACTAGATGTGGTCTCTTTAGGGCAGGGGTCTCCAAATGTGGCAAGCTGAAGACTTGTGGACTCCATGGCGGTCCGCGGCTGGCTGGGGAATTCTGGGAATTCTTCCACAAGTCTTCAAGTTGCCACATTTGGAGACCCCTGCTTTAGGGGTTCAGGAGCCCCAACTCAGCTTCCCAAAGGACCACTAGAGTTCTCTGGTGCGACGACATTATCATCATCAGAAGGGCTGTAGTTGAAATCCTCTGGTTCAGTTTTTGCTTTTTCCTTCTCAGGGTTTTGAGAATGGGTTACTCTGCCCCGAAATTTTTTACTCTTGGGGCCAGTTTTGGGCAGTTGTTTTCCTGCTTGGGGTTTGAATGCTTCCATTTGAAGTGCTGGAGGCAGCTGTGTGAACATCTGCAACCTGCTGCAGATTAAGGAGAAAGCTGGTTCTCGTTCAGCGCATTGGCTTCCCTCTGTGGGTCCCTGGCCTCTACTCTTAATTCGCTGTTTCTCTTTCCTTTGTTTGTTTAATAAAAGCGTCCTTCAAATGCAGAGAGTGGTGAATCTGTGACTTTATTCAGCCGTTTTGTGTGAACAAACATGAAATCTCCCGTTTACAAAAGGGGAAATGCCGTCGCTTTGGTTAGTCCTGGGATTAAGCACTTCAGTCCTGCATGAATACGTTTTCTATTTAATAAAAATAAATAAATTGGAAAATGAAAGAACAGGCAGTCCTCAACGTACGACCCCCAATTGGGCCCAAAATTTATGTTGCTAAATGAGAAATTTGCTAAGTGAGTTTTGCCCCATTTTACGACTTTTTTCTTGCCACGTTTGTTAAGTGAATCGTTGCAATTCTTAAATTAAACACGGTTGTTAAGTGAATCTGGCTTCCCCACTGAATTTGCTTATCAGAAGGTCGCAAAAGTCGCAAAATGACCCCGGGGATGCTGCAACCGTCATAAATGTGAGTCGGTTGCCAAGGGGCTGAATTTGATGACGTGACCCTGGGGACGCGGCAACGGTCTTGTGAAAACTTTTTTCAGTTCCATTGTGACTTTTGATCACTAAATGAACTGCTGTAAGTCAAGGACCACCAGTAAAAGTTCCTTGCCTTAAGCATTCGTTTAGTGACTGCTCAAAGTTACAACAAGTGACTTACAACTGACCCTTGCACTTACAACTGTTGCAGGCGCTTGACAGGCAGGCATTTAACAATGGAGTCACGTGACCCACATTTGCAACCTTCCCAACCAGCTTCTGATACGCAAAGAAAGCCGGATTCACGTAACAACCACATGATTCCTTAAGAACAAGAGGGATTCACTCATCTGTGGCAAAAAAAAAAAAAAATTCAGGCGCCTCTCACTTCACTGCCTTGCTTAGCAACAGAAATTCTGGCTTGCTATTGTGGTACTTGAGGATTACCTGTAGCTTGATGAACAGACACAAGGACTCAGCTATAAAAAGTTACAAATGGCAGCCATGGTTTGTTTCACCCTTTTTTCTCCAAGTGTTTCTGAACAGTAGAATAATTTTCCTGACATTTCTAACACTGTTGTTGTTGTTGTTAAATGCGAAGTCGTGTCCAACCCATCGCGACCCCATGGACAACGTTCCTCCAGGTCTTCCTGTCCTCTACCATCTTCTGGAGTCCATTTAAGTTCACACCTGCTGCTTCAGTGACTCCATCCAGCCATCTCATTCTCTGTCGTCCCCTTCTTCTATTGCCCTCAATCTTTCCCAGCATTAGGCTCTTCTCCAGTAAGTCCTTCCTTCTCATTAGGTGGCCAAAGTATTTGAGTTTCAACTTCAGGATCTGGCCTTCTAAAGAGCAGTCGGGGTTGATCTCTTCTAGGACTGACCGGTTTGAACGCCTTGCAGTCCAAGGGACTCGCAGGAGTCTTCTCCAGCACCATAGTTCAAAGGCCTCAAGTCTTTGGCGCTCAGCCTTTCTTATGGTCCAACTTTCACAGCCATCCATTGCAACTGGGAAAACCATGGCCTGGACTATACGCACTTTTGTTGGCAGGGTGATGTCTCTGCTTTTTAGTATGCTGTCTAGATTTGCCATAGCTTTCCTCCCCAGGAGCAAGCGTCTTTTAATTTCTTGGCTGCAGTCCCCACCTGAGGTGATATTGGAGCCCAGAAAAATAAAATCTGTCACTACCTCCATTTCTTCCCCATCTATTTGCCAGGAATTGAGAGGGCCGGATGCCATGATTTGGGTTTTCTTAATGTTGAGTTTCAAGCCAACTTTTGCACTCTCCTTCTTCACCCACATCAAGAGGCTCTTTAGTTCCTCTTCGCTTTCTTTTCTAACACTAGAATTCCTTATATTAGAAGAGAATATTTATGGCTCAGGGCTGAACTGTGGGCTCCTTGGTGCTCTGTCAACTTTTTCCTGCAGAAGTTTCATTATCCATTCCTAGCACTGATGGCGTTATCTAATTGGGTGATGAAACGTCTGCAAGAAAACTACCAAGCTCGGAGAGCACCGAGGATCCCACATTCCCATACTCTACTATATATAAATCCATTTAATGTGGAATGATGCATCTTTGAAACATGATTGGATGTGCTTGCATAATGCTAACTCACAGTTAGGGGAATCAGTTTATTCAGTGAGCCCAGCCATGAAATTGGGTAACTGATCCCTCCAACCAAACAGCCACTGGAAGCCAGGCTGAAGAAAAAGCTGCAGTTTTCCTTCTTTAACCGCATAGGAAAAGTCCATCCAATGTATTCTCTCCTGCACCCCAAAACTTCAAAATTATTCCACCGCTGAATGCAGCAAGAAAAGGCTTCAACAATGAGGTCTCAGCTATTTTTATTACAGCGATTTGGTTTCACACAGGGATATAAAAAGCTGCTTAAAAACTCAGCCCCACAACTATGTACACAGAAGAGCGGTGAGTGCAGCGTTAGGTGGACGAGACTCCCACCGGAAGCAACAGATGGAGACAATCCTTGCACATCCCGCAAGCACAACAGCGTCCAAAGCGTTCCCACCGGCAACAGGAAGCCGGTGCTTCACTTGGTGATGGTGTTTCTGGAGAGAAAGAACACAAATTAGTGAAAGACGCGCAGGAAAGTCCTCTCCACCCACCCAATTGGGAAAAGTCTTTTAGTTGAGTCCTTCTCAGGATGTCCTAACCAGCGGTGTCCAATCTTTGCAATTTTTAAGACTGGTGACTTCAACTCCATGCTGGCTGGGGAATTCTGGGAGTTGTAAAGTTGCTAAGATTGGAAACCTCTGGTTTAGAACATCATCCTGAAGTTGGTGTCCTCCAGGGATGCTGCAACCACATCTGGGGTCTTGGACCAACCAGTGGGGAGCACATTCATCCTCTTGAGATGCCAAGTTAAGAGGAATGACTAGAAGAGATTTCAGATGCAAATAGATGTTCCTCAAATTCCTTTTCCTGCAGGGGGGCCTTATCCAAATAAAGGGAGGAATAAACACCAGCCGGTATTGCCTTTTCCCCATAATTCTTCGCTCCACTCCCCAACGAAAGCGAACATAGGAAGGAATGGTAGAGGACAGCCAAGCAAGCCATTCTGGGGATTTGACTTCAGAGAAGACCACCGCATCTTGGGCTGGTGCCCAGCTGTCAAAATCAGCCCCCTCCCCAGGCGTGCCCCCCTGACGTCCTTACGCATTCATGCTCTTCCCGCTACCGCTGAGCACGATGTACGGCGTCTTCTGAGCTTTCTGCTTCTCCTGGAGCAAAGCCACCGTGCCCAGTGGGGTGTCACTGGAGCTCATCTTCTTCAAGAGCTGGAAAACAGGAGAGCAGACAATATTCTCTGCGCCCTGCTCTCCCCTCACAGCTGGGGTTGACTATAGCAGCGCCGCCCCCCCCACCTTTTGGGCACCAGGGACCGGTTCCACGGAAAAAGGTTTTTCCCCGGATCGGAAGGATGTGGTTTTGCATGTTGCCTGCATCCCACGGATGGGGCTTCGCTTGTTTGAAGGCCATACATCTTAAAATTGCCAGTGTTGAGAAACAATGCTCTTTAATATCCCATTAAAATTTTTTTGTGTGTAACCTTTAGTTCAGTGGTTCTCAACCTTTTTAATGCCGCGACCCCCAACCGGTCATAAGTCGAGGACTACTCAACCGGTTGTAAGTCGAGGACTACTCAACCGGTCCTAAGTCGAGGACTACTCAACTGGTGCAGCACCGTTTGCAGAATGGGACTTTTGGCGGGCTCAGCAGGGCAGAGACAGCCTGGACAATTCCTATTGGCTTTGGAAAGCCAATAGAATGAGACTCTATTCAAGAGAGTCTATTCTATTGGCTTTCAAAAGCCAATAGAATAAAAGGGAGGAGCACAGCTAAGGAAAAGGGGGGGGGAAAATGGCAGATCGCGTTGTTTGGCGACCCCCGTGAAATGATCGTTCGACCCCAAATGGGGTCCTGACCCACAGGTTGAGAACAACTGCTTTAGTTGGACAAAAGGTTGCATTGTAGGGCAAAAAGGTTTCAGCCCAGGGATCTCGGGGGCTAACTTGACAGAGCGCATCTAAAATCCGTGACACAGGACTCCAAAGGGAAATCTGGCAAATTGCATTAAGCAGTTTATGATCTAAAAATTATCATATATTACAGGTAGTCCTCAGCTTACAACAACTGAGCCCAAAATTTCTGTTGCTAAGCAAGACAGTTGTTAAGTGAGTTTTGCCCCTTTTTTACAACTTTTCTTGCACGGTTCTTACATGAATTTCTGCAGCTGTTAAGTTAATCACACGTTTGTTGAGTGAATCTGTCTTCCCCAATAATTTTGCTTGTCAGAAGATCACAACGGGATCACATGACCCCTATGCAACCACTATAAATATGACCCAGTTGCCAAGCATCTGAATTCTGATCACGTGACCACATGGGGATGCTGCAATACTTTTAAGTGTGAAAAATGGTCATAAGTCACGCTTTTTCAGTATCACTGTGACTTTGAACAGAAAGGCTGTAAGCGACATAACCTCTCTATGACACAACACAACAAGCCATAAAGCATTTCCAGGGTGGTGCTGATATTTGGCTGTACCACCCAGTTCAGCCTGGGCTACTTTCAAGGCAAGTCCTTCTCGGAATATCTCCCTGACGGTTTTTTTTTTTTAAGGAACTTTTCAAATACATGACGAGGTTGAAGGGACGGAGGAATCTGATAAGGGAAATATCTCAAAAAATGACCCTCTGCTTCCAGTGCACCCTCTCTGGCACCGCCCTCTCCTCTGGAACAGCCAGCTCTGGGCACCCTAACCCTTTCCCCTGGTTTTCAGAAAGCCCTTTAAAAAGTGGCCGTTTCCAAAGGCCACAAAATCAGCCACGTTATTTATTTATTTATTTATGAGACTTATATACCGCTTTAAGTGCAAGCACTCTCTAAGCGGTGTACACCAGTAAGCAATGTATATATATATATATATTTACATTGCCCCCAACAATCTGGGTCCTCATTTTACCTACCCTGGAAGGATGGAAGGCTGAGTCAACCTTGAGCCGGTGAGATTTGAACCGCTGACCTGCTGAACAACAGTCAGCTAAAGTGGCCTGCAGTACTGCACCTCTAACGGCTGCGCCACCTCGTTAGGACTGCTCCCTCCGCTGTGGGACGGTGCTTCCCTTGGGAGCTAAGGATTCTTTTACTCCGAATGGCTCAAAGTTGCTTCTCAAAGAGCAACTGGACTTCCTTTTTTTCTCTCTCTCTCTTTTGCTTGGAAATGTTTCGCTTCTCATCCAAGAAGCTTTTTCAGTTCAAGGAAAAAAAAAAAATAAGGAAGTCCAGTTTATTTATTTATGAGACTTATATACCGCTTTAAGTGCAAGCACTCTCTAAGCGGTGTACACCAGTAAGCAATGTGTATGTATATGTATATATATATGTATATATATATATATATATATATATATATAATATATATATATATATATATATATTTAATTACCCCCAACAATCTGGGTCCTCATTTTAACCTACCCGGAAGGATGGAAGGCTGAGTCAACCTTGAGCCGGTGAGATTTGAACCGCTGACCTGCTGAACACAGTCAGCTAAAGTGGCCTGCAGTACTGCACTCTAACTGCTGCGCCACCTCGGCTCTTTCCTTTTTGAAAAGCCCCTTTGGGACAACCGTGAGCCGGACGGCTGAGGACCACCAATAAACAGGGGCTGCTGATGCTTACGACCTTTAACAGTTTTAGTGCTTAGCTTAATGGTCTCTCTTAATCTGAATGTTTGTAGCTGAGAACGGTGCTCTGTTCAAAGCCGTTTTCAACTGGAGGGCTTGTCTGGATGAAGGGACGAAGTAGACCGGCCTCTCAACAAAAACCCTGGCTTCCACACCAGGGGACCTCCCCTGCCCCTTCCTCCCCACCACTCACCGCCTCCTCGTCCAGTTTCTTCATGCGCCGTTCGGTCTTCATCTTCCCAGAGCCCTTGCCGTGGAAGCGGTGAGACAGCTGGCGGAAGGCCTGCGACACCAAGAGCCCCGGTTAAGAGGCAGACAGACCCCCCCCTTCTCTATAGGGTGGGCACTGAGGCAAGGAAGAAGGCTAGGGCTTGTGGTCCACATAGTGACGTGGGGAATTTGGTCTAAGGGCAAAGGCTAGAAAGCAGAAGACGGTGAGTTCTAGTCCTGCCTTAGGCCTGAAAGACAGCTGAGTGACTTTGGGCCAGTCACCAGGAGACTTGAGTTCTAGTCCTGCCTTGGGCATGAAAGCCGACTGGGTTGATTTTGTATGGAAAATAGGAGGAGGAAGCAGCAGCATGAGGTATGTCTGCCGCCTTGCGTTAGTTGTGAAGTAACAAAGGCAGAATAAAAATCAAATAATAAATAGACAAACAGGCTCCAATCCATTTTGATCTTGGAAAGAGGTATCCATGAAGTCTTAAGCATCTGATTCTTACAGTATGAGTGGACTCACTTGGAATAATAATTAAAATAGCAGGATTAGCAGCAGAAGTTCTGCCCTGGGAGGAAGGGAAACGGTTACGTCAACTCTCCTTTGGAAGGGGGCGCTGGGAGTGGGGTGGGGGTTCCCAGTACCTCCTTGGGGGTGAGCTTGCGCCCCGTCTCGTCCACGTATTCTATCTTCACGTCTGGTTTGTAGCCATCTTTTTCCTTGAAGTCCTGCGTGAATCCCCGATATTCCTCCCGCCGGCTGTACTTGTCATCGATGGCCCTGGGGCAGGACGACAGGCAGCCGTCTCAGCTTCCCTGGCAACCCCATTGGCTTAGCCAAGGCAAAGGGCGGAGCAGGTGCTCGATCCCACACCCTCCCCAGATACACCTTTCACTTCTATAACACAATACTGGGCGTCCTCGACTTACGACAACAATTGGGAAGAAACTTTCTGTTGCTAACCAAGGAGCTTAGATGAGCCACACCTGATTTTACAACTCTGTTTGCCATGTTGTGAAGCGAGTCACTGCAGTTGTTAAATGAATCCAGCTTCCCCCATTGGCTTTGCTTGTCGGAAGCTGGCTGGGAAGGTCACAAAAGGTGGTCATCTCTCTCTCTCTCTCTCTCTCTCTCTCTCTCTCTCTCTCTCTCACACACACACACACACACACACACACACACACACACACACACACACACGATGTCAACGCTGCAAATATTGTATATTCTTGCTTTTGACAATATGCAGACTTGTCTGGTAATTATGGGGTTAATACAGAGCAGAAGGGGGGTGGGGGTAAAGCCCGGGAAAGAAAGAGGAAGGAAACCTTTGACCTTCACACTAATTGGATAATGTGAGATATGACGGCTAATTTAGGGAGGGAACACGCTGATAATTGAACTGCTCAGAGGAAGAGAACTTAGATCCTAGCATCCCTCCGTTGTGCCTGTGCCGACATTTTGTAACAATAAAAGGCTTTTAGGAAAATCAATGCCTGGAAGTTCTTTGGAATGTTTCATTAGCCGGAACCACAACACACACACGCACACACACACCGGGATGCTGCAACCATGCTAAATACATGCTGGTTGCCAATCATCTAAACTCCTCATGGGAGGCTGTGGAGATGCTGCATCTAGCGTGAGTATGAAGACCAGTTGCCAGTCCCTTTACTCACTGCCGGGGTAAGGGGAGGACCAACTGTATCAAGGCTTCTCCTGGTCCAGCGAGGACCATCTCTGCTCTCGAAACCTGACTTCTGACTTAGTTACTTGGCCAAGTGTGGTTAGGCCCACAAAGGAATTTCTCTCTGGTAGAGAAGCGCTCAGCGTGCTTGCGAACAACAAAAAGAATAGAATAATACCAAAGTGTACGGCCAATGAAAGGGAGAGGTAGACAATAATAAAGGAGATAAAATAATAAATGAATAACGAAAGAATGTGAACATGAAAGGGATGAATGAAGTGGTAAAAGGCTGCCAGGGAGACCGTCTCCCTCCTGGCCCACTCACATCTTGTCCTCAATGCAATAAACGGCCGAGGGCAGCGACTTGTTCGGCGCCTTCACCCGTGCCACCTTCTGCACCGTGGTCTCCAGCAAGCCTGGAGAAAGAAAGAAAGAAAGAAAGAAAGAAAGAAAGAGAAAGAGAAAAGAAAGAAAGAAAGAAGAAAGAAAGAGAAAGAGAAAGAAAGAAGAAAGAAAGAAAGAAAAAGAGAGAAAGAGAGAGAGAGAGAAAGAAAGAAAGAAAGAAAGAAAGAAAGAAAGAAAGAAAGAAAGAAAGAAAGAAAGAAAGAAAGAAAGAAAGAAAGAAAGAGCCAGGGGAAGGGGCGGCAGCCTGTAACCCACACCTCCAGCCACACAGGAACCAAGAAAAGGCATCTGCAGCTCTAGGCAAGGCTGCACAAGGAAGGGCCCTTCCCAGTCCGCACCCAGGGCACCGTCCCGCTGAGGGCCGATCCGCTCTCTGCTTACCTTTGTTCTGGCACAGCATCAGGGCAGCGCCCAGGCCCCGGTTGACGATGGGTTCCTCATCCAGGATGGTGGTGGATGAGGTGAAGAACTGCATACCAGAGGAAGAGAGGTTTGATCAGCGGTGCAGCCCTTCAAACAAGCCAACATCAACCTCCTTGGCTGGCTGGACCGTGGCTGAGGATCCTGAGAGTGCAGCGTTTCTCAAACTCGCCCACTTGAAGAGGGGTGGACTTCAACCCCCCGAGTTTCCCAGGCAGCAGAGAATTCTGGCAGCTGAAGTTTACCCATCTTCAAGTGGCTGAGACTGAGAAACAGTGATGTATCATCTAGCGCAGCGTTTCTCATCGTGACAACTTGAAGACGAGCGCACTTCAACTCCCAGCATCCCAGCCAGCTTTTGAGACCCCCACGTCCTACGTACGTCCTGCTGGTTCTTCTCCTCATCCAGGTTGACCGTGCTCCAGCCAATGTTCTCCTCGCCATCTGAGTCAGAGCCGCCGGTGGCTGACCTCTCGTCGTCACGTTCAAAGTCCTGAGAGATGGGGGGGGGAAAGGGGGGAAACATGAGGAAGGATTGTCTGGGTGTGAGGAGGACCCCGACTGGCTGCGCAAGAAAACCCCTGTTCCTCTAAAGAGGCAGATATCCCAAATCTTGGAAAGCTAGCTCCATGTTTCTCAACCTCAGCAGCTTTAAGATGGGTGGACTTCAACTCCCAGAATTCCCCAGCCAGCACGGGAGTTGAAGTCTAGCCATCTTCAAGGGGTCAAGGTTGAGAAACACTGCTGTAAGATAAAAGGCCAGGAGTCTCAAATCATGTCCTTAAAGCAGTGGTTCTCAACCTTTTTAATGCCGCGACCCCCAACCAGTCGTAAGTCGAGGACTACTCAACTGGTGCAGCACCGTTTGCAGAATGGGACATTTGGCGGGCTCAGCAGGGCAGAGACAGCCTGGACAATTCCTATTGGCTTTGGAAAGCCAATAGAATTAGACTCTATTCAAGAGAGTCTATTCTATTGGCTTTCAAATGTCAATAGAATAAAAGGGAGCAGCACAGCTAAGGAAAAGGGGAAAAAAAATGGCGGACTGCGTTGTTTGGCGACCCCCGTGAAATGGTCGTTCGACCCCAAATGGGGTCCCGACCCACAGGTGGAGAACCACTGCCTTGAAGCAAGACACCTCCCCCCCCCATCGAGTCTTCATTTTTATTTATCAAATTTAGAAATCTCCCGTCTCCCTCACGGAGGGACTCTTGACTCGGCCGTCCTCCTTTTGGAGGCGCAGATGGTCCTCAACGTACAACCACAATTGGGACCAGAATTTCCAAATTGAGTTATTAAGTGAATCGTGTCCGATTTTATGATCCCCATTAGCCTCCATTGTTAAGTGAATCACTACAGTTGTGAAATGAAGTCAGGATGCAAAGAGAGATCATAAGACACACACACACACACCCCCCAGGATGCTGCAACTGTCTTGAACACATGCCGGTTGCCAAGCTCCCAAATTCTGATCATGTGACCGTGGGGGAGGCCGCAACGGTCGCAAATCAAATTTATACAGCCGCCCATCTCAGGGGCTGCCATAAAGAAGAGGGAATCAAGCTATTCTCCAAGGCACCTGAAGGCAGGACAAGAAGCAACGGGTAGAAACGAATCAAGGACAGAAGCAACCTAGAACTAAGGAGAAACTTCCTGACAGTTAGAACAATTCACCAGTGGAACAACCTGCCTCCAGAAGCGGTGAATGCTCCAACACTGGAACTTTTTAAGAAGAGACTGGACAGCCATTTGTCCGAAATGGTGTAGGGTTTCCTGCCCGAGCAGGGGGTTGGACTAGATGACCTCCAAGGTCCCTTCCAACTTTACTACTATTATTATTATCTCACCAAAGGAGATGGAATCACGTGACAACCAGCCGCTTGAGCTGGACCCAGAAGCAAATCAGCAGCCAATGCAGCTTCCCGCAAGAGAGGTGACACGTGTGTAAACACAAAACTGTGCAGGGAGCTGCATGCTGAACCAACTGGAGCTTCCAGATCCTTTCCACGTACAGCGCATTGCAGTAGTCTAGACGGGAGGCGACCGCAGTGTGGGCGAGTGTGCCTACTGCCGCTCCTCTCAAAAGTGTATCCCTCAAGCCTGCCCTCTAAACTAGCCCCCCTCCCCAAAGTCTTACCAGGAGTTCCTCCTGCTCCTCCCGGTTCCCCGCCAGCCCGTAGGTGGGGATCTCCCCCAGCGTGCGGCAGAATTCAGAGGTGGCGTTGAAGACGATGGCCCCCTTCTTCTCCAGCTCAGCATCGTCCTCCTGGCTCCGGTTGCGCCCCAGGGTCCGCACGATCTCGACCACCTGGGAAGGCCAGGCGGGGTGGGAGAGGTCAGCCCCGGGGGGGGGTCAAACAAGGCTGACCGTGCTTAACCGACAGGCCCCACCAGCCCTTGGGTCAGGTTGAAATGGTGAGAGGGGGGCCGGGGGCTGGTGGGAGGGGACAGCCGCTCCATTCTGCCCCAGTTCAGGTTGCAAAGGCACCAGTGCCCCCCCCACCTGGGGCCAGGCCTCTGCCCTTCCTTGCACGCCCTCACCTTTTCTCCGCTGTCCTTCAACTGCTGGATCTGCCTCAGCTTCCGCCCCTTCTCCAGCTGCTTCTGCAGCTCCATCTCGGCCTCGTCTTCCTCCAGGGCAGGCGGAGAGTCGGGGCCTGGCCTGGCCTCCTCTGGCCACACAGGGAAAGACAGTCGGGTTTTAGCGGCTCTGTGAGCTCCACGCTCCTCTCTTCAGCCCTGGAGGGTCATCCCTTTGAGTCCAGGCCTGACCCAGGATCCTCGTTGGCTTAAACACCAGCAGTGCTCAGCGCTGGTTGCCAGGGAGGAAGTGGTGGGGTCCCTGGTGCTCCCTGAACTTGGTTGTTTTCTTGCAGACGTTGCCTTGCCCAACTAGGTAACACCATCAGTGTGAGTGTTGAGTTTGTCCACCTATGCGTATGTGTGTGTAGGTGGGGATATTTCTAGCTGGATAATGAAATGTCTGCACAAAGACAAGCGACCTCCAGAGGCACCAAGGTTCAACCCCAGTTTAACTCTGAGCTACAGAGATTGTCTTCTACCGAAAACAGGAAACTGCTCAGTCCCTCCTTCCTTCCCACCCACATCAATCATCAATCATCATCATCGCAACAGTCCTTAGACCAGTGGTTCTCAACCGTTTTAATGTCGCGACCCCCAACCGGTCGTAAGTCAAGGACTACTCAACCTGTCATAAGTCGAGGACTACTCAACTGGTGCAGCACCGTTTGCAGAATGGGACTTTTGGCGGGCTCAGCAGGGCAGAGACAGCCTGGACAATTCCTATTGGCTTTGGAAAGCCAATAGAATGAGACTCTATTCAAGAGAGTCTATTCTATTGGCTTTCAAAAGCCAATAGAATAAAAGGGAGCAGCACAGCTAAGGGGGGAAAAAATGGCGGACTGCATTGTTTGGCGACCCCCGTGAAATAGTCGTTCAACCCTAAATGGGGTCCCGACCCACAGGTTGAGAACCACTGCCTTAGACTTATATACCGCTTCACAGTGCTTTACAGCCCTCTCTTAAGCGGTTTACAAAGTCAGCCTCTTGCCCCCAGCGATCTGGGTCCTCACTTAATCGACCTCAGAAGGATGGAAGGTTGAGTCGACTTTCAGCCGGCCATAATCGAACTGCTGGCAGTGGGCAGAGTCAGCCTGCAATACTGCATTCTAGCCACTGTGCCCCCACAGCTCTTACATCCAGATGGAATGCATCCGTCCACTCCAGGTGCCGTCTTAGTTCCCCAAGTGTTTTAATTTCAGTGATCCAGCGATCCTCACCATCCTCGCTGCTGATCTCCATTTTTTCTACCCGGATGTCATCTGACTGGATCAGCTGCTCTCCTGCCCCATTTCTCCTGGTGACCAGGGATCCCTCTTCTTCTTCCTCCTCCTCTTCCTCTTTCACAGACGCCCGCCGTTTACCTCGGCCCCGGGTCCTAGGGAGGCAGGACAAAGTGGATCAGGCCTGATAAGAAGGGGAGGGTCCATCTAAAGAAGCTCCCCTCTCGGGATCAAGATGGGGCTCACCTGGGTTAAGGCCCTAACACCTGAACTGCGACCCACACTTGCTCAGGAGTCTGTGTGAACACAGCTCCTGGGATTGCGCATCGTGTGCATGTGGGAGAGAATGGCACGGAGACACAACTGTCCTCCTCTGCCAGCTTTCTGGGCTGAAGAAACACAACCGCGGGGTGAGAAGACAGCTGCACAGGGGTGGTGTTTACACAGGTTTTACTGGGCCATGAAGGATTTGGCAACTGCCCTGAGTTCAACCTGTTTAGCGGAGATGAGATTATCTTGTAGTGCAGACATGTCAAACCCAAGGCCCCGGGGCCAGATGCGGCCTGCAAAGTGGTTTCATGTGGCCCGTGAAGCCATCCTGGAAACAGTGAGGGAACGGCCCCCGCTGCCTTGGCCCTGGCCCAGGGCGGCTGGGAGCCAATGTACAATTTTGCGGTGGCCATCTATGCTGAAACACTTCAGTCTTAGCTCCACAAGACTATCTGGAAACAGCGAGGAACCAGCCCCTGCTGCGTTGGCTTTTCCCCCTGGGTGCATGCTGGGGAGATGTCACCCTTTTTGAGGAATGAAGAAATGCACCATCACCTGGAAGTGGCCAGCAAATGGTCCTCGCCTACTTCATATATCCAGCTTGATGGGCTCTGGGGGAGGGTTTTCGGCAGGCAGTGGGGCGCTCACCTCACAATACCGAGAGGCTGAGCCAGGCGGCACAAATCCCAAAAGAAACGCGAGGCCGCCCAGCTCCCATCCTGCCCAGTTTCAGCAGGCAGCGGGGCGCTCTCCTCACAGTGCCAAGAACTGAGCCGGGTGGCGCGAATCTGATGAGAAGTGCAATGTTGCCTAGCCCCCAGCCTGCCCAGTTTCAGCAGGCAGCAAGGTGCAAAGCTGGCGAGTTTCGCACTGCCTGGCTCAACCTTTCGGTGCTGTGAGGAGAGCGCCCTGCTGCCTGCCGAAACCGGGCAGGCTGAGGGCTGCGCGGCATCGCGCTTCTTTTGGGATCTGAGCCGCCCGGTTCAGCCTCTTGGCGCTGAGAGGAAAGCGCCCTGCTGCCTACCGAAAGCGGCCAGGCTGAGGGCTGGGCAGCATTGCGCAGGTAACATTGACTCTCACTTTGCTCATGGCATCCTCTCCCCCAGAGCCCACCAAGCCAGATATGTGAAGTAGGCGAGGGCCATGTGCTGGCCACTTGCAGGCGATGGTGCATTTCTTCATTCCTCATGAAGGGTGACACCTCCCCAGCTGCCTTTCTTGTCTGTTTTTCTTTCTCCCTCATTTCAAATATTTTCCCACTACTATGTTCGGAAGGAAGGAAGGAAGGAAGGAAGGAAGGAAGGAAGGAAGGAAGGAAGGAAGGAAGGAAGGAAGGAAGGAAGGAAGGAAGGAAGGAAGGAAGGAAGGGTCTGAGGGAAGTCCTGCCTTAGTCCTGCTTTTTCACCATCCCCTTGCCCCCTCCTCCTGGCCTATCCTGGGGGCCTCCCATCCTATTGCTAAGGAAGCTTTGGATACAAAGCCGGGTCTCCTCCCATGGCGAGGGAATGAGCCTCCCTCTGACTCTGCCCTCGTACCCATCATGAGCAACCTGGATAAGGAGAGCAAGCTCAGCAGCAGCAGCCTTGAGGAGGAGGTAAGGGCAGCTGGGTGACCCCTTGGGGAAGTGGGGCTGGGCTTGGTGCCACAGGTGCTCAAGGGCCAGGCTGGGTGTTTGACCTCTGCTGCCCAGGGCTCCGGGCAGTCTGCACCACCATCCAGCCCTCCCACATGGCCTGAGATGAACATGGATCCTCCATGTCTTGGCACTTGCCCTGGTCCCATCCCCTTCTGCAGAGACCCTCAGATCTGTCCCACTCCTGCCCAGGCCCCCACAGGCACCCTTGACGCGAACGATGTAGAGCTGGCCATGCCCACCCAGTAGGCCACACCCACTCCATCCACAACCACCCAGTAGGCCACACCCATCCTGGCCACACACCCCCCAGGGCAACCGCAATGCTGATGCGGCCCTCAATGAAATTAAACACAATTCAACTCCACCCCTGTTGCAGTCCAATTGTGCAAACTCAAACATGGGTCAAGTCACAAGATGGGGAGTCCACCACAGCCAGGGGGTGGGATTTCAAAGCAGCAGACCCTGGGGCTGTTCCTCTGCCCCCCCCCTCGCCCCCAGGCAGCCATGTGGCTGATCCTGACCTGGACCCGAAATCACGCTCGCTGCTCTCAATGGCGAGGAGCAGCAACTCGTCGGCCTTCATCGGCTTCTCCTTCTTGCGTATCTTCTTCACCCGTCGCCTCGTCTTCTTGAAAGTGGTCTGCAGGCCGGAGGGGAGGGGGGAAAGGCGGGCTAAGAGTCCGGCAGGAGGGTCCTTTGGCTGAGCCCACGGCCCCCAAAAACAGCCCCACTGCCCCCCGCCCCCCAGCCCCTCCAAGGTAGGAAACCCAGGCAGCCCAGAACCCCCCATCCAGGCTGGACCCCTTCACCCCCCACCCCAGGGCTTTTCCTGCGACCGTCATCCTCCGGGGTTTGCCTCCCCCAGCACGGGGGTCTCACCCACCCTACCATCTCTTCTGGGGTGTAGTACTCCGAGGCCAGGTGGAGGCTGGGCAGGTCCAGCGACTGGGCCCGAGTCTGCAGGCTGTCCCGGATGCTCTGCAGCTCCCGTTCCCGGGAGCCGTCCGCCATCCCCACCGCGTCCAGCTTGAAGGACTTCTTCTTCTCCCCTTCGATCTCTTCGTCGTACTTGGAGAGGACGCCCTTGTGCTTCAACTGGGGGCAGAAAGTGAGGGTCACGGGGGGAGGGGGAGACTCAAGGCAACCAGCCGGGCTGCAAAAAAGCGGCTTGGCTGGACTCAGGCAGCCAATCCAGCCAGACACCACAATTTGCAAGCCCAAAATTAAACAATCCATGTTATATGCAACAATGAACGTTTGTCCGTCCCATTAGATCTGGAAGACAGGGCTCGCTGTGGGTTCCCTCTGTGGGGCGCTTTCATTTGAGCCCCGGTGGTGCAGTGGTTAGAAGGCAGGGTTGCAGGCTAACTCACTGCCCACTGCCAGCAGTTCGACCCTGACCGGCTCAAGGCTGACTCTGCCTTCCATCCTTCCGAGGTGGGTAAAATGAGGACTCAGATGGTTGGGAAGGGCAAGAGGCTGACTCTATAAACCGCTTAGAGAGGGCTGTAGAGCACTGTGAAGCGGTACGTAAGTGTAAGGGATATTGCTCGTGCTTTTTCTTCCTTCCTTCCTTCCTTCCTTCCTTCCTTCCTTCCTTCCTTCCTTCCTTCCTTCCTTCCTTCCTTCCTTCCTTCCTTCCTTCCTCCCTCCCTCCCTCCCTTCCATGGTACGCAATGGTTAGAATGCAGCATTGAAGGCTGACTCTGCTGACTGCCAGCAGTTCGATCCTGACCGGCTCAAGGCTGACTCAGCTTTCTCTCCTTCCGAGGTGGGTAAAAGGAGGACTCAGATTGTTGGGAAGGGCAAGAGGCTGACTCTATAAACCGCTTAGAGAGGGCTGTAGAGCACTGTGAAGCGGTATATAAGTGTAAGGGATATTGCTCGTGCTTTTTCTCCTTCCTTCCTTCCTTCCTTCCTTCCTTCCTTCCTTCCTTCCTTCCTTCCTTCCTTCCTTCCTTCCTTCCTCCCTCCCTCCCTCCCTCCCTCCCTCCCTTCCATGGTACGCAATGGTTAGAATGCAGCATTGAAGGCTGACTCTGCTGACTGCCAGCAGTTCGATCCTGACTGGCTCAAGGCTGACTCAGCTTTCTCTCCTTCCGAGGTGGGTAAAATGAGGACTCAGATTGTTGAGAAGGGCAAGAGGCTGACTCTGTAAACCACTCGGAGAAGGCTGTAGAGCACTGTGAAGCGGTATATAAGTCTAAGGCAGGGGTTCTCAACCTTTTTAATGCCGCGACCCCCAACCGGTCGTAAGTCGAGGACTACTCAAGTGGTGCAGCACCGTTTGCAGAAGGGGACTTTTGGCGGGCTCAGCAGGGCAGAAACAGCCTGGACAATTCCTATTGGCTTTTGAAAGCCAATAGAATTAGACTCTATTCAAGAGAGTCTGTTCTATTGGCTTTCAAAAGCCAAGAGAATAAAAGGGAGGAGCACAGCTAAGGAAAAGGGGGGGGGGGGAAATGGCGGACTGCGTTGTTTGGCGACCCCCGTGAAATGGTCATTCGACCCCAAATGGGGTCCCGACCCACAGGTTGAGAACCCCTGGTCTAAGGGATCTGACTATTGCTATTTGGCGGATGTCAGAAGGTGTGCCTTCTCTGCTGTGACATCCGCCTTAGGGAAGTCTCTCTCTCTCTCCCTCCCTCATCTGTCTGTCTTTCTGTCTGTGGAACTCTGGGAGTTGAAGTCCACACATCTTAAAGTGGTCAAGGCTGAGAAACACTGTGTTGAAGCTGCTGGGGATCCCAGGAAGAGGACCGAGAGAGACTTACAATCACCATGTCGTCCACGCTCTCCTCTTCTTCGTAAGGTTTGTACTCCGGCTTCTTCTTGCGCAGCTCCACGTTCTTCTTGGCCTTCTCCCTGTCCACCATGTTGACGTTCACCAGCACATCGCCACCCTCCTCCTCCAAGACGCCTACAGGAATGCCAGTGGTCAGCTGGAGGAGAGCTCTGGGGGGCTGCTGCTCCTTCACAGGGACTGGCCCCCAAAACTAGGTGCCACGCCTGCAGGGCCAGCTCTGGAGTGGGGGAAGGTGGCACCTCTTCAGCTCCTACCTTTGTCTTTCAGGGTCAGGACGACAGTCTCTCCTTCCTGGAAGGAGTCGATGGTGTGCTCCACGGTGAGGCCTTTCAGATCCGGGGCGCTGTAGCCCACCTGTTGGCAGCCACAGAGTGGAAAGAGGCGTCAGAAAAGGCAGGGATGGCGTGGAAGGAAACTCCCAGCTTTGGGAAGGCTAGAAACGGCCGTTGTAAATCAAGGGGCCCTCAAAAGATGCATCCTTCTGTAGCAAGAATGCATTTTTTTTATTTGTTTGCTAAATGAATAGTCTTTGTTGGCCAAGTGTGACTGGACGCACAAGGAATTTGTCTCCGGCGCATAAGCTCTCAGTGTACGTGCAAAGAACAAAAGAAAGACGAGAAGGATAATAGCAACCCAGCCCTACTACATGTGGTAAATGTCCTTAGGAATAAGACAGTGATGGCATGGGGGGGGGAAACTGTCTTTGTGTCTTGCGTCCCACCTTAATTATCTTTACAAATGACTCAAGGTAGCAAACACATCCAATGTTCCTTCCTATTTTGCCCACCACAACAACCCTGTGAGGGGTTCTCCACGCCTAACAGAGGACTGTAGATGCCATTCTGAGGCCTCCTATTTAAAGCACGTCTGAAGAGGCTCAGGCCGCCCTTTCGTTGTCCCGTGGGTCCCTGGCGGTCAGCAAGAACCAGGAACCCCTTGAATTCATTTCCTTCACAGAGGTGAAGGCGAGCGATGCAGGGAGTCCTCTCTTCACGACCGAAATTCAGCACCCGAATGTCATCATGGTCGCTAAGCGCGTCACCTGACTTGATTTTACAGGGCTCGTAAAACGTGTCACCCGGGTCATTAAGTGAATCACGTTGTAAGCCACAAGGACACAAATTGCAGTAACATGACTGCGAGAGCCAATCGCCAAGTACCCCAAATACGATCCTGCACACCATAGGGGCCATGTGTGCATAGGGCGTATGTGTGTGTGTGTGTATGTGTGTGTGTGTGTCTGGCAGCTGTAACTTTAAGGAAGGGTTGTAAGTCTTTGTGTCGCAGCCGTTAGAGTGCAGTACTGCAGGCCACTTTAGCTGACTGTGTTCAGCAGGTCAGCGGTTCAAATCTCACCGGCTCAAGGTTGACTCAGCCTTCCATCCTTCCGAGGCAGGTCAAATGAGGACCCAGATTGTTGGGGGCAATGTAAATATATATATATATATACATTGCTTACTGGTGTACACCGCTTAGAGAGTGCTTGCACTTAAAGCGGTATATAAGTCTCATAAATAAATAAATAAATGTAACTTTTCTGGGGGAGGGGGCCCATTGTAAGTTTGAACAGTCGCTCAGTGAGCATCTGTTAAGTGGGAACCACCTGCAGTCAGCAAAACAGGAGCCCTGCGCAGCAGCCTTATCAAGACGCCCTCTCCTTCTGGGAGCACCACTAGGAAAGGGGCTCCTGAGGGCATCTAGCGGGGCTTTCCCCCCCCTCCTCACCTTCTTCTGCTGCCCAAATTCCTCCTCCACGAGACTGCTGATGCCGAACTCCTGGTCCATCTCCTCCAAGAGCTTGGCCTGTTTGAGGAAGGAAGCAAGAGGCACAACCTGAGCGACGGGGAAGGGCTACTCCCAGCGCTCTGAGACAGGTGGCACGGAGAGTCCTCGACTTATGACAACAGTTAGGACACCTGTCGCCAATCCCTGTGGTCAAGTGAGTCATCATCTGAGCGCACCCAATCTTATCCCCTTTTTTTGGGCCGCAATCATTAAGTGAATCGCGCCGGCCGCTAAGTGAATCATGCAGTCGCTAAGGAAAGCGGCTTTCCCCATGGACCGCTGGTCAGAAGCTGGCTGAGAAGTTCATAACTGGTGACCAGGTGACACCGGGATGCTGCAACCATCATAAATCCAGGCGGTTGCCAAGTCTCGGGAGTTTGATCACACGGCCAAAGGGACGCTGCAAAAATGTGAGGACTGGTCATAAATCACTTTTTTCAGCATCGTCGTAACTTCAAAACGGTCGCAAGCCAAGGACTGCCAGCGGGCGTTTAATTTGGGGAAATGCAATACAGGCAGTCCTCGAACTTACAACGGTTCATTTGGTGACCATTCCAAGTTACAAGGGCACCGAACAAAGTGACCTGATGACTGTTTACGACCGTCGCAGCGTTCCCAGGGTCGCGTGATCCAAATCTGGACGACTGGCAAACTGGCCTGTACTTATGACGGTCGCCGTGTCCCGGGGGGTGTCACCTGATCCCCTTTCGCGACCTTCTGACGAGCAAAGTCAACGGGGAAGCCGGATTCACTTAACAACCGTGTTAGTCGCTGCATTGATCCACGTAACAACGGTGGCAAGAAAGTTTGTAAAGTGGGGCAGAACTCACTGGACAACTGTCTTGCTTAGCGGCGGAAATATTGGGCTCAGTTGTAAGTCGAGGAGTACTTGCACATAAGGAAATTCTTGGCCATGGGGCAGACAGCTGACCCCTTCTGGGCTCCTCACCCCATCCAAAGGGTGGGAAGAACAGGAATGGCTAAAAGGGACACTCCTGGAGGACGTGAATCCCTCAGCTCAGGGACCGGCAGCTTCAAGAATGAGGGTAGACACTAGAGAACAGGGCTCTCCAGCTTCGGCAACTTTTAAGATGTGTAGACTTCAACTCCCAGAATTCCCCAGCCAGCAATGTGGACTTGTAGTCCACACATTTTAAAGCTGCCAAGGTTGCAGATCTCTGCTATAAAACAGGGGTCCCCAATCTGTGGGCCGCAGCCCGGTAGTGGCCCGTGGCCTCGCCACTGGGCCGTGGGACAGGCTGGCCGGTGTGCGCGCGTGTGCACACACACCCCCTCACTTGTGCAAGCGCTGTCACTGCAGAGCACAAAAACAGGTTGCCGCACCGTGGGGTGCAAAAGCGGGGCACCGCTGTGCTGCAAGGCACAAAAACAGCCAACGCGCCACGCAGAAACAAGGCACGGCGCCACGCAAGAACAGGGCAGGGCTAGTGAGTATCACATGGGGGCTAGCCCCGCTCCATTTGTGGCACGTGTGTGGTCGCGGCCCCGTGCGCATGTGCCCGCATGCACGCATGTAAAATGCTTCCCTCTCCATTTTCCTCTGGTCTGCCAACTGACAAAGGTTGTTGCCCTCTGCCACAGAAGCTAGTCAAACCTCTGCTCAAGGCAGGCTTCATCGTTCCTTGAGACCCTCCAGTGAGTGAAAAGCCCATCGACACTGACCCTCTTCTCCGCCATCTCTTTCTCCAACTGCAGCTTCCGGCTTCTCTCAATCCAGGCAGCCGTGTCGTCCAGCCAGGGGTCATCTTCACCGAGGGACTTGACTTTCCTAAAGACACAAAAACGCAAGTCCTGTACGGAAAGCTCTGCCCCTGGGACCGAGATGAGCGGGAAAACGGAATTCAGGGCAAACAGGTCAGTATAAGAAAGAACACATGTATAGTCAGCCCAATGCAGGCAGTCCTTGGCTTACAACAGTCTGTTTAATGACCGTTCAGCGTTCCAATGGCCCTGAAAAAAAAGGGACTTATAGCAGTTTTTTCCACTTATGACTGCTGTAGCATCTCCACGGCCACGTGATCAAAACACTTGGCAACCGACTCGTATTTATGGCAGTTGCCGTGTCCCACGTGATCCCCTTTTGTGACCTTCTGACCAGCAAAGCCAAGGGGGGGGGATGCCAAATCCACTTAACGACCGTGTCACTAACTTCACTTCGCTTTAAGAACTGGGGCAAGAAAGGTCGTAAAACAGGCACCGCTCACTTAAACGTCTCACTTAGCCGAGGTGGCGCAGCAGTTCGAGTGCAGTACTGCAGGCCACTTTAGCTGACTGTGTTCAGCAGGTCAGCGGTTCAAATCTCACCGGCTCAAGGTTGACTCAGCCTTCCATCCTTCCGGGTAGGTAAAATGAGGACCCAGATTGTTGGGGGCAATGTAAATATATATATACATTGCTTACTGGTGTACACCGCTTAGAGAGTGCTTGCACTTAAAGCGGTATATAAGTCTCATAAATAAATAAATAAATAAATAAATGGTGAGCTCAATTGTGGTTCGTAAGCCGAGGACCGCCTGTAATTTAGAAGCAGTTTTCAAACGGTCCCACAGTGAAGACAGAAACAGTCGAAAGGCTACCCTAGTTTCTGGTTTAAAAGCCGCTTCTCCTTGGCGGCTGCTAACTTCTCCCGGATGTCCTCTCGCTGCCTGAGGGTGATGGGGTTGATGACCTCCGCAGCCACCGGGTCCTCCTTGCTGCCGGTCTCTGCAGGGGGAGGAGAAGACAAATGTGGATACCAACCGTTTGCTCTGCTGTAGACCAGCTTAGATGAGCACTAAAGGGACTTCGACTCAGTCTTGTCCACGAGTGGCAAACGCAGAAACGGAAAGCCACGGCTTCCAGCTAGGCTAGAGGACAAAATAAGCCAACCAAACTCTTATTTTTTGTAGCAGCCGATTCTGCAGACTTTACGGTGCCTTCGTTCCCCCTCCCAAACCAGGAAGCCAGTTTTGGCTCAGTTGCTTTGCGAACTCAGTTCGATTCCTGCGCTGGAGGGCAAAGAGGTGAGGTGTAAGGACCCACCCCACTTTGCATCTTAAGAAGACAGAACTCTTGGAATATTTCTTCCAACAGGCATCCTTGATTAAGAGAAAATGGTTGCAGGCGTTCTAGACAGGACCTGGGGGCCAAGCCCTACGGTTCAAGGTTTTAGGGGGTCTCCAGTAGCCCCACCCCCCCCCATCATCTTCCAAGGGACAATCCCAGGCTCTACATTTCCACCCCCTTTTCCTTCAGAGAGGAACAGATCAAAGCTGATGGCCCCCGTTCTTATGCTTAGTCCTTTTGGTGATACCCACATTCAAGTCCTTTGAAGTTGTACCAAAGGAAGTGAGGGCCACAAAACCCCTTTGTTCACCCCCCTTCCCCTTCATCGTACGACAGAATCCAGAGAGGGCAGAAATGGGGTTTTCCATAGTCGATAACTAGAGATGAAATATAATTGGATTCTGACGTGAGGTGTGCATTTAACAGAAAACTGGAGACTAAGAACTCCAATTTTCTGCCAAGAGCCAAACCACGGTGCCCTTGTTTTCTTCCTTGCTGTTTCACTTTAAAGCGGGTGGTTAAAAGGGAGAACGTTGGCCATTCTAGAAGCCACGGATTCATTTTACAAGGAAAGCAACTGTTGGTAAGCAGGATGAAGTGGTCCAGCCCAGACCCAAAACCCTTGCCGGTTTAGTGAGAAAACATTATAAACAGCTGCTGAAAAAAGCAGAGAAAATATCTCATGATATCCTACAAGCTTTAAAGAAACACTTTTCCTACCACACAATAATAAATCAGTGACGGGCAAAGTTAACTTTCCTAAATTAACAGAAGATCAGGAAAAAAAGATTAACGGTTTAATTACTAAGGAAGAAATTGTTACAGCTATTAAACAACTGAAAGTGGGCAAAGCGCCGGGTACGGATGGGTTGACATCTATTTATTATAAAGCTTTAGTAGAAGAGATGATTCAACCGTTGTGTGAACTGTTTAATAATTTATTACAGGGGTTAGAGATCCCTCCATCCTGGCGTAATGCATTTATATCATTGATTCCAAAAGATATTCAAGATCTTACTTTGCCTAAAAATTATAGGCCTATATCTCTTTTAAATGTGGATTATAAAATTTTTGCAAAAATTTTAGCTAACAGGCTTATGGGGATCTTGCAGCAGTTTATACATAGGGATCAATCGGGTTTTATAACTGGAAGGTATATGAAGAATAACGTTAGACAAATTATTAATTTATTAGAGTATTTAGAAAAGAATAACCAAGTCTCTGCAGGCCTGATATTTTTGGATGCTGAAAAAGCCTTTGATCAAGTGAATTGGCAGTTTATGCTGTGTTTAATCAAGGAGATGAATTTTTGACAAAATATATTACAAGTATTATCCAATATATATCAAAAACAGACTGCTCAAATTATTGTAAATGGGGGTTTGTCAGAGGCTTTTGTAATAGAAAAAGGAACAAGACAGGGATGCCCGTTGTCTCCGTTATTGTTTGTTTTAACACTGGAAATTTTGTTGATTAAAATTCGGGAGTCTCAAGAAATAAAAGGAATAGAAATTAATAAAAAAGAATATAAATTAAGAGCCTTTGCAGATGACTTGGTTGTTACTTTGTCTCAACCTGTTTCTTCGGTGGTGAAATTATTACAATTGATTCAACAATATGGACGTGTTTCTGGCTTTAAAATTAATAATAATAAGACCAAAATATTAGCTAAAAATATGACTAATGGTGATAAACAGGCTTTAGTTAACTTAACAGACTTTGAAATCGTTGATAAGGTAAAATATTTGGGGGTTACATTATCTGCTTCTAATGTAAAATTGTATAAAAATAATTATGAAAAGCTGTGGATGGAGGTACAGAAGGATTTAAAAAACTGGAATAATTTACAGTTATCCCTTATGGGCAGAATTGCAGTTATTAAAATGAATGTCCTGCCAAAGTTTATTTTTTTGTTTCAAATGTTACCTATTTTAAAGAACGAACGTAATTTAGATGAATGGCAAAAAGGTATTAATAAATTTGTTTGGGCAGGGAAAAAACCAAGGGTGAAACTTAAAATAATGCAAGATTTTCGTGAGAGAGGTGGACTCAAGGTACCAAATATGAAATTGTATTATGATGCTGTAGTATTGACATTGATTAGCGACTGGGTGAATTTAACAAATACAGAAATACTTCATTTGGAAGGCTGGGACCTACTTTTTGGATGGCATGCCTACTTAATATTTAATAAAAAAGTGGATTGGGTTTTTAAGTCTCATATTATAAGAAACTCTTTGCTAAGAGTGTGGAGAAAGTATTATAAAAGTGACTTCAAAATACCATTATGGGCTATACCTCGGCATGCCATAGAAGGTATAAGGAAAGGGGTAAATATGGACAAGGTCTCTTACGTACAGTTACTAAGATGGATGGCCAAGACTGGCAGTTAAAATCTTTGGAAGAATTAACACATGAAAATTTAACTTATTCATGGTTCCAATATAGACAAATAGTGGATAGATGGAAGATGGATTGTAAAACGGGCTGGCTTAGAGAAGATGAAATTTTTTTAAAACAAGTAAGAGATCAAAGGCCAACCCATCTTAAGAGAGTTTATGGGGTTTTAGTGGAATTAGATTCAGAACTTGAACTAGTTAAAGATTGTATGATTAAATGGGCACAGAATATTGGTGAAACGATTTCAATGGATACTTGGTAACTTATTTGGATAAGAAATGTTAAATTCACACAAGCGCAAAATTTAAGAGAGAATTTTTATAAGATGTTTTATAGATGGCACCTTGACCCAAAGAAAATGTCCATTATGTACCCTAATCTACAGCCGAAATGCTGGAGTTGTGGATATTTGGATGCTACCTATTACCATATTTGGTGGACGTGTAAGCATATAAAAGCTTTTTGGATTAAGATATGGTGGAATATTCAAAGAATTTTTAAAAGGAGGGTAAAATTTACTCCGCAATTATTTTTACTAGGTATTGTTATTGACTGTGATGTTAAGGAGGTTATATTGATGTTAAATTTGATTACAGCCGCTAGGTTGTTAATAGGACAATATTGGAAGAAGGAATCTTTGCCTACTTTACAAGAATGGTTTCATAAAGTTTCGTATTTGGCAGAAATGGCAAAGAATTCGGCTTTCTTAAAGGAGCAATCTCAAGAAAAATTTTTTGCGGTATGGGAAAAATGGATAAATTTTATACAACATAATTTGGATATGGGAAAATATTATTTAGCCTTTTTATAATTTGTAATGATTGTTTTTTCTTTCTTTCTTTCTTCTTTTTCTTTTTTTATATATATACATTTTTTATGTATTATTATTCATATATTTTTTTTTTTATATATATATATGCTTTATTCTTCGTCTACTTTCTTCTTTCTTCTTTCTCTCTCTCTCTTCTTTTCTTATTTCTTTTTTTTCTTTTTTAGTATATATTATTCATTTTAAAGTTTATGTTATGTATATTATTATTATATATATTATTACTGTGATTTTTATTATTATTATTAATTATTTTATAAATTGCAAATGTTATTTTTAAAATATTTGTTAAATAATCCTATATTCAGTTCTGGGAAGTCGGGGGGGGTGGGGTGGTTGGGGAGGGGGGGGTGGATTCTTATTTGTAAAACTTTTGAAAAATTTCAATAAAAAAAAAAAAATAATAATAATAAATCAGTGACGCTCCCATCTTGGGTTAGATCAGGGATTCTCAACCTTGGCAACTTTAAGACTTGTGGACTTCAACTCCCAGAATTCCTCAGCCAGCAAAGCTGGCTGAGGAATTCTGGGAGTTGAAGTCCACAAGTCTTAAAGTTGCCAAGGTTGAGAACCCCTGAGTCAGATGAAACAACAGTTTGTCACAGAGGTCTGAAGAAGAAAGGAACCTAAGGCTCCATGGCGAAGGGCAGAAGACAGCGGGCCAACCTACCCTTTTTGACAGTGTTGATTTCCAGAGGCTTCAACCCTAGTTTTGCTCGAAGTTTACTATTGAGAGAGAAAAACAACAACAAAATGCATGTGATCTTGTGCACCCATTGTTGAACCAGACAACAGAATCTCTGTGGGGTCCTGGATGCTCTCTGAGCTTGGTGGGGTTTTTTTGCAAACGTTACCCAACTAGGTAACACCCTCAGTGCTGGGACGGTGGGGGGCGGGGGCGGGCGGGTGGTGTTTCATCTCTGAAAATCAAACAGCAAACAGTAGAACATAGTATCCTAGTGCTGGAAGGGACCTCAGAGGGTTTCTAGTCCAACCCCCTGCTCAAAGCATGAGACTTATACCATCCCAGTCCAATGGTTGTCCAATTCATTCTTGAAAACCTCCAGTGATGGAGCACCCACAGCTTCTGGAGGGAAGCTGTTCCACCGGTTAATTGTTCTGTCAAGAAATTTCTCGTCATTTCCAGGCTGGATCTCCCTCTGACGATAGTCTCATTCATTGCTTATTGTCCTGCCTTCAGGTGCTTTGGAGAATAAGTCAAGCCCCTCTACTCTATGAAAGCCCCACAAATACTGGAAGAGTGCTATCATGTTGCTCCAACCTTCTCTAGTTCCCTCAACCATTCACCATACAATGTAGTCTCTAGTCTAGACCCTTTATCATCTTTGTTGCTCTTCTGAGAACACCTTCTAGGTCTCAGTATGTTTTTTATATCATGGTGACCAGAACTGGACAGAGTACCTCAATCAAGGAACTACCAGCTCAGATAAACTGTAAACAATAGCCTAATCAAGCAACCACCAAGAACGCTCTCACCAATAGTTGTATATAATCAGAGAGCAAACTTCCTCCCTTCTAGCACTGATGATGTTCCCTAGTTGGGTCATGAAATGACTGCAAGAAAAACATCAAGTTCAGAGAGCACCAAGGACTCCATAGTCCTCTTCCTCCTCCTCCTCCTGTCCTAAAACTTCCCTCCTTTCTAGCTCTGATGATGTTCCCTAGTTGGGTCGTGAAACGTCTGCAAGGAAACCACAAAGCTCAGATAACACCAAGCACCCCACAGTCTCTTCCTCCTCTCTACACACCCCACTCCCTTTTAGCACTGAGAGTATCTACCTGGGTCAAGAAATGTCTGCAAGAAAACCACCAAGCTCAGAGAACAACAAGGACCCCACAGATTAACCTTGAGCTACAAATCTCCTCTTCTATTGGAACAGAATCTCTCTAGCACACTGTTAGAGATCTCAAGGAGCTAGTCAGCCTTTTTTTTAAAAATTAACAGATTTCTGTGGGAAAATCCCATTCTTGCGGCCTTTTAGGAAAAGGGTTAAGCTTGGAAGTGGGAAGCATTTCTGCTTTGGTGCAGCTGTTTTTCCCAAGGGCAGACAGTGACCTCTGCTCCCCTCTTCTCTTCCCATCACCACCCACTGAACCCCAGGCCAATCCATTCCTGAAGGCACCAGCGAATTTGCTATCTGATTCCTGCAGCCCTCGCAGCTTTGCACAGGATTAGCTGCAAGAGGGATTTCAGTGATCCACACCTGGGTGGAATCCCAATTTCCCCATGAATTTATTAATTCACTCACTTTGTCTCCTCGATGCTGAGCGAAGCGTCTCCTCCGGAGGAAGACTTTGAGCTAGCAGCTGTTTGGGAATGAAAACAGGGAGGGAATGAGTAACACTGAGTGAACATTACGAGTTGGGAATGATCTAATGGTTTTTGCACAACTTGATATCCAAAAGAGTCAGATTTCAGCTCTTTTGGGACAAAGGATGGGATGTTTTGAGAATTATCTAGCCTGAAGAGAAAAACAAAAGGCTTGCATAGTTGGCAACTTGAATACGTCCAGCAAGGAACTCATACTGAAACAGGCATCGTACCTGAGAAATTACAATGCAATTTGAATATCCAATTTTAAAGGCTCGGAATAGTCCCTCTTCAGCAATCTCTTAAACAGTTTAATTAATTCATTACTAGATCCAGCACACCACAGTTTGATTGCACACACTGATTCTCTCAAATCCACTTTTGCTGTCAATTTAGATCTTGCAGTCTAAGCTGGAATTTTCGCCGCATCAAATGCTTTAGGCTGACAAAGGCAAACTCAGTGATGAAAATAACTGCCTCCCACAACTGGGAGAGGAGGGGCTTCACAACCCACAAACATGGCTGGCTCAGGAATTCTGGGAGTTGAAGCCCACAAGTCATAAAGGGGCTATAGTTGGCCCACCCTTAGTGACATACTTCCTTTGAGCACAGTCTCACCATCATATGACTTAAAAGCAGTTTCCTATTATGGGGTTTGGCTCAGGGGGGAAGATAAATATTTGCCACCATCATTTTTAATGCAAAAAAAAAAAAGTTTAATATAGTATACAACAGAGACAAGCATAGGCAGTCCTTGATTTACTACCACAATTGACCCCAAAATTTCTGTTGCTAAGTAAGACTGTTGCTAAGTGAGGGTTTTTTTGCATTTTATGACAGTTGTTAAGTGAATTACTGCAGCTGTAAAGTTAGTCACATGGTTGTTAAGTGAATCTAACTTTCTCATTCACTTTGCTGGTCAGAAGGGGGCAAAAGGGGATCAATTGACCCCAGATTACTGCAACTGTCGTAAGTACACGCCAGTTGCCAAGCATCCAAATTCCTGATCACATGACCATGGAGATACAGCAACAGTTGTAAGTGTGAAAAACAGTCATAAGTCACTTTTTTCATTGCCGTGGTAGCTTTGAACAATCACTAAACCAGTGGTTCTCAATCTGTGGGTCGGGACCCCATTTGGGGTCGAACGACCATTTCACAGGGGTCGCCAAACAACGCAGTCCGCCATTCTTCCCCCCCTTTTCCTTAGCTGTGCTCCTCCCTTTTATTCTCTTGGCTTTTGAAAGTCAATAGAATAGACTCTCTTGAATAGAGTCTAATTCTATTGGCTTTCCAAAGCCAATAGGAATTGTCCAGGCTGTCTCTGCCCTGCTGAGCCCGCCAAAAGTCCCATTCTGCAAACGGTGCTGCACCAGTTGAGTAGTCCTCGACTTACGACCGGTTGAGTAGTCCTCGACTTACGACTGGTTGGGGGTCGCGGCATTAAAAAGGTTGAGAACCACTGCACTAAACAAACTATTGTAAGTTGAGGACTACCTGTAACATCCTGGGATATTTACAGATAGCTCAATTCACGTTAACCTCCAAATTTAATCCGGCTCATCCAAAGTACAGAAACCCTCTGGAAAATGGGAGCAAATCCTGATGCCGCCTGTCTTAAGTCAGAAGCGAGTCCGTGTGAATTTCCTGGGGAAAGGAGGGGAGGGAGAGCCCTTTGGCATCCAAAATGCCAGGCGCTTACAAGCATCCCCTTTGCCCGGTCAATAATTCATGAACCTCTTTATACACCAAGGCATTATGAAGCCGTCCCTGAGACGAGACTCCCAACAGCTGATTCTCTGAAAAAGTGAGACTTCAGCAAGTAGTTGGAGAAAGACAGCTCTGCTAGGAATGAGCAGGTGCACAAACAAATCAGTCTGGAAAGCTTGTAACTCAATATGTTGTGGGAACTCAGGCAGCGCTGGACACTATGGTATGTGATTCAGGCATTGCGTATTATGTGAATGCAATGATGCTGTAGGGCAGTGGTGGCGAACCTGTGGCACGGGTGCCAGAGGTGGCACTCGGAGCCCTCTCTGTGGGCACACGTGCCGTTGCCCCAGCCTTGCCTCCCTCCTCACCAGCAGCCCCCCTGGAGGAGAGTCGCCCCCGAACGTGGCCCACGCGGAGCAGCGCAGCCAAGGACGTGGCAGCTAGGCAGTGTAGGCAAGACTCTGCCCTCCTGCCCCATTGCGCAGTTGATGCTGCAGGGCGCGGGCAGAGGGCGTGGCCACCATGGTGCTGCTGGGCTGCCTGGGCGATCTGCAGCGGGGCCTGGCGGCAGTGAGTGGCCCTGCAGGTAGGCAGGGTGGGGGTGGAGTAGGGGCGGGGCAGGGGGTGGAACAGGGGCGGGGCCAGTTTTGGGCACTCAGTCTCTAAAAGGTTCGCCATCACTGCTGTAGGGTTAACCCAAGTTTAAGATTAAGCATGTGGTATGAATTTTATTGCCACAGTTGTTAAGTGAATGACTGCAACTGTTAAGTTAGTAAGACAGTTGTTAAGTGAGTCTGGCCTCCCCATTAACTTTGCTTGTCAGAAAGTCACAAAAGGGGATCACGAGACCCAGGGACCCCGCAACCATCTTAAATGCAAGCCAGTTGCCAAGCATTTTAATTCAGATCACCTGACCATGGAGATGTTGTAAGTGTTGTAAGTGTGAAAAATGGTCATAAACTCACTTTTTCCAATGCTGTTGTAACTTTGAATAGTCACTAAATGAACAGTTGTAAGTCAAGGACTACCTGTACACCCCACGATGATCAATGGTGATTTAGTTACTAAACCAACTTATATGGCCACCCAACTCATGCACAATGGCTCCAAGCAATGTACAGCAATAAAATGCCACAATTAACACACACTCCAAACTCACCTGCTTCTTCCATCCCATAGTGGCAACATACACAATCAAACAAGTCAGTTGACTGGCTCTGTATCAACCAGGTGTGTGTGTGTGTGTGTGTATGTGTTAGTAAGCTGCTGTCTTTGGGGCTTTTGTGATGGGGACCATCTTATCTCTAGGGGAGTGATGTGCCACTGCAGAGAAGACCCTTTTTCTTGTCCTATCACAGAGTTTCTCAACCTTGACAATTTTAAGGCATGTGGACTTCAACTCCCAGAATTCCACAGCCAGCAATGCTGGCTGTGGAATTCTGGGAGTTGAAGTCCACATGCCTTAAGATTGTCAAGGTTGAGAAACACCGTCCTATCAGATGTGTTAATAGATGGGGTCCTCGACACATCCTGTTTTCAGGCTCAGGTGGGCCAGGTGTACAGGTGGTTTGTCAAATGGCCAGGCTATGTAGGGCTTTAAAACTGATAATCAGCACCTTGAATTGTACTCAGAAGAAAACTGGCAACCAATACAGCTTCCTCCAAAGAAGTGACAGATGTGCAAATTTGGACTCACACAAAACTATGCAGGATGCTGCGTTTTGAGCCGACTGAAGCTTCCAGATACTCTTCAAGGGCAGCCCCAGGTAGAGCACATTATAATAGTCCAAATGGGAGATCCTCACAATGGCCTGTTGGCCCAACTAAGAGTTACAGCTAAAGCGCTTTCACTTACAAGTACAATAAAAGCTTTCTACATGACTCATATGCATGAGAACGCTCTTCCCCACAAGTCAGACAATTCATTCATGTGTTAGCACAACTGGAGAGCAGCCAAATCAACATGCAAAAACTAACAAGTATACTTGACCAGAAAATCATCAAGCAATTTTCTTGCAATTACAGTTCCTAATTATGCCTAAAGGCAGGGGTCCCAAAATTTGGCAACTTTAAGACTTGTGGAGTTCAGCTCCCAGAATTCCTGCCATAGGGCCACCCCAAAATCTTTCTTCCATCAGCCGCTTTTCTCACCTTCCATTCATCACTGATTCTCAGCCAAATCCTCTTGCTTTCCAAAACAAAAAACAAAAAACACCACAAATGCAAGAAAAAAGGTCATTCTCATAGCTTTGAAATCAGGGGAGTGCAGATAAGTTGTCGTACTCCCCAAGGAGTAAGGTTAGTTGGGGAATTCTGGGAGTTGAAGTCCATCATTTTAAGGTTGCTGAAGCTGAGGAAAATTGCTATAGAGCAGTGTTTCTCAACCTTGACAATATTAAGGCATGTGGACTTCAACTCCCAGAATTCCACAGCCAGCAATGCTGGCTGTGGAATTCTGGGAGTTGAAGTCCACATGCCTTAAAATTGTCAAGGTTGAGAAACACCGCTGTAGAGAGTGCTTCATAGGGCACACCCTGGGCTAACAGAAGAGGGCTCTAAATCTAATAAATCACATATAGCAGGTGACAATTCTGATTGTCCCCTTAGACAAAGCAGGGCTGAGCAGGGCGACACAGAAGCTATTTGGATAGCAAAATATAGGTAGTCCTTGACTTACAGTAATTCATTTAGTAACTATTCGAAGTTGCAATGGCATTGAAAGAAATGACTTGACTGTTTTTCACAGTTACGACCATTGCAGCATCTACATGGTCAGGTGATCAAAATTCGGATATCTGGCAGTTGACTCATATTTATGACGGCTGCAGTGTCCCCGGGGTCACGTGATCCCCTTTTGCTTCCTTCTAACAGCAAAGTCAATGAGGAAACTAGATTCACTTAACAACTGTATTATCAACTTAACAACTCCAGTGATTCACTTGACAACTGCAGTCAGAAAGGTCGTAAAACGGAGCAAAATTAACGTTAACAGTCTAGGTCAGCAACAAATTTTGGGCTCAATTTTGGCCGTTGATGACTCAGATGCAGGTAATCCTCAACTTAACCACCATTTGTTTAGCAGCCATTCCAAATTGCAAGGCCACTAAAACCAGCGACTTACAATCAGTCCTCCTACTTGCAACCTTCATGGCATCCCCATGGTCATGTGATCAAAATTCAGTCGCTTGGCAACTGATTCATATTTATGAGGGTCACAGTGTCCCGAGATCACACGATCCCTTTTGGCGACCTGCTGACCAGCAAAGTCCAAGGGGAAGCCAGATTCACTCAACCACCGTGTTATTAACTGGACAACTGCAGTGATTCACTTAACAAGTGGGGCCAGAAAAGTCGTAAAATGGGGCAAAGCTACTGTCTCGCTTAACAACCAAAGTTTGGGGCTCAATTGTGATCGTAAGTCGAGGACGACCGACTCCCGCCCCGCCCTGCGAGGTAGGCCGCCCAGGCGACCCGGCCCCCTCCGCACCTGCGCCCTGGGCGCCCTCGTGCCCATCGTCCCGCTTCTCCCGCTGGCTCCGGCGGCCCGTCTCGCCGTCCTGCCCGGCGGCGGCGCTGCTGCGGCTGCCCCGGGTGGTGGCGGTGGGGGTGGAGGAGGCCTCATCCCCGCCGCCGCCGCCCCGCCGCCCGCTCCGTTCGCCCCGGCTTCGGCTGCGCTTGCTCCGCCGCTCGCTGCCGCCGCCGCCGCGGTGCTTGTGCTTCTTGTGCTCGCGGTGGCGGGACGAGGAGGAGGCGGCGCCGGCGGCAGAAGAGGATGAGGCCGCGGGCGGCGCGGAGTCCTCGGAGGCCTCGCTGCGGTCGCGGTGCCGCTTGGAGGAGCCCATCGCGAGAAAATGGCGGTTCCCCCAGCGGAGGCCCCGCAGAACGGCGCTTCCTGGTTACCGGAGGTTCACTTCCGGGGTCAGAGTTGCACTTCCGGTCCTTGCGGAAAACCGTCCGCCGGCGGCCTTGGTCTCTTAACAATGGGTTCCCGGGCAAGACTTCGTGCCTTCTCGCTGCTTCTAGTCTCCGCTGAGCGTTTTGGAGTAGGCAGAAGGATTTTCTTTCTGCTTTAGGAAGGGTTGGGATATTAGCCTAACCTCTCCTCCATTTTCTTCCCCTCTTTTCTCTGTATCGTTCTGGATTCGAATTCTGAATTAAATACATTGAATTCCAACTCTGTTATTCTATATACTCTCTACTCTTGAATCATATACTCGGCAGTGTTTTTCCAAGCTTGCCCACTTTAAAATGAATGGACTTCAGTTCCCAGCATGGCGGCTGGGAGATTCCGGGGGGGGGGGGGAGTTGAAGTCCATAGTTCTTAAAGTTGCCAAAGTTAGAAAAACATTGCGGTAGGCAAATGGACTGCGTTCATATAACGTGATAATCCGGAAACACAATATCCTCAAGCTTCAGATTTAGCATTTTCTGACACTGCATCTGCTAACCTTGTACCTGAGACAGGTAAAGGTGGTCTGTGAATGCAATCTTTGTTTTGATTTCTGTTCACATTTCATTGGGAGAAAGCATTGAAGGAAATAAAAGTTATTCTTTTATAAAATTATAGAAAAATAATTGTAGAAATGTAATGCCAATATATGAAACTGTCTCTTTAGTACAAATGTAACACTGTAACACAAATGTAGCAATACACTGCCAAATGTGTGAGAAGGTTTGTTCAATGTTTACTGCCTAAAATTCCTCCGGAGACAGGAACTTACTTGAGTAGAAATCCTACTATCAAAGAGAGGGATTTTGACCCAAGGTGAGAATTACAAATAAACAAGATAACAGCAGATGGACGGAAGAGGTCAGGTTAACAAAGTACAACTTCAGAGTACATCTATAAAGATGAAAGAGCTGTTTAGATGTGACATGCATTGTAGGGGATATAAAATGCAGATCTTGAAACCAGGCCAGTGTGCTCCTGGAATCCAATCCATAGGGAAGGATCCAGGGGGCCGCGTTTGCAAACGCTCCTCTCTTCTATTCTTTCTCTTTTCTCTTTTATTCTGTTTATGTTATTCTCCAATAAACCTTTGTTTTGTTAACCAGACTTGTCTTCGTATTGTATCAAAATTTGGGGTTTTTACAGCATGCACTAATTATAATGAGACAGTATATGGTCAATCAAACACCAAGAGCATATTTGTAGCTCAGGGCTGAATTGGGGAACATTAGTTGTGCTAGAACAGTGGTTCTCAACCTTTTTAATGCCGTGACCCCCAACTGGTCGTAAGTCGAGGACTACTCAACTGGTGCAGCACCGTTTGCAGAATGGGACTTTTGGCGGGCTCAGCAGGGCAGAGACAGCCTAGACAATTCCTATTGGCTTTTGAAAGCCAATAGAATTAGACTCTGTTCAAGAGAGTCTATTCTATTGGCTTTCAAAAGCCAATAGAATCAAAGGGAGTAGCACAGCTAAGGAAAAGGGGGGAAAAAATGGCGGACTGCGTTATTTGACAACCCCCGTGAAATGGTCGTTCGATCCCAAATGGGGTCCCGATCCACAGGTTGAGAACCACTGTGCTAGAAGGAAGCGGGATTTGCAGAGAAGGAGGAGGACTGTGGGCTCCATGATGCTCTCTGAGCTTGGTGGTTTCCTTACAGAAGTTTCATTACCCAAACAGATAACATGAATGCTTATAGGATATTAGTTTCTGCAGTCACCCAACACAGTGAACTAACTACACGGACCGACTTCACCCAACAACTTAGGGTAAAATGTGGTTGATTAGTTGGTGCTTCAGAATGCTGTTGAACTCGGCCATTGAAATTTATTTTGCAGCTCAATTTTCACTGAATTGAGGGAAGTTAGCCCAGAGAAGGAAATATTAAAAGGGCAGAAAAATATATTTTTCCTCAAAAGGATTTAAAACCAAACCTGGCCCCAAATCTATCTCTCTGCCCCATACAAATGCAGATGTAAAACCATCAGAAAGTTGAAGCCAGAGCACTCAAGAAAACAAAGAGAAAATCTGCATGCCCCACCCAAACTCTAGGAGTCATTAGCCCCATCACCTGGGAAGCAGGATATGATAATAGGATTAAACCACAGATATCAAGGCCTAGAAAAACACTCAGAAATAGCCTCAAGGTTCATGCCACAGGAACAGGAAACTATTTTAAACAAGGCTAGAGGGGGTATAAAAACCTACTGCCCATGTGCTCAACTCCTCTTTCCTCTGCTCTTTCTGGTAAGGATCATCTTTCTGCTTCTTCAATAAACTGTAACCTTCTTCCCAAAGCAGTCGCCATGTTGCTTATTTATCCCCAGCTTGGATGAACCAGGATGAAGACTTACTTCTGACAGAATAGAACTATAAATTCCACACTCCAATTCTCCAAGAGCTTTCTGTAGCCTCTAAACATGTCCAAAGACCCAGGTGATCTTTGTTAATCTTGTTACAAGCTTTTTCCTTTCAGTGGGTCAAGCCTCTGCTTAAAAGGGATGAAAGAAGGAAAATAAAGAGGTCAGAGATCACTACCCCGTGGGAAGGAGTCTAGAACAAGTGTGTCCAAATTGGGCCTCTTTAAGACCTGCTGACTTCAACTCCCAGAATTCCCCAGTGGACCACGGTTGGATAACCCTGTTCTAGAGGTAAGAACTTTGGAAATTTACCCTGAAAAGTGTGGTATAAATGACTGAAAAAATGTTGTGTTAATTACAAGACACTACAGGACCCTTGAGTTATTTTAATTTTCTTGTATGCGACATATTGTAAGTCAGTGTTTCTCAACCTGGACAATTTTAAGGCATGTGGACTTCAACTCCCAGAATTCCACAGCCAGCACTGCTGGCTGTGGAATTCTGGGAGTTGAAGTCCACATGCCTTAAAATTGTCCAGGTTGAGAAACACTGTTGTAAGTAATCACTTAATCTGTCAACGCTGCAAATATTGTATATTCTTGCTTTGACAATATGCAGAACTGTCTGGTATTTTTGAGGTTAATACAGAGCAGAAGGGGGTGGGGGCAAAGCCAGGGGGAAAGAAAGAGGAAGGAAACCTTTGACCTTCACACTAATTGGATAATGGGATATATGACAGCTAATTTAAGGAGGGAACATGCTGATAATTTAACTGCTTAAGCAGTGTTTCTCAACCTTGACAATTTTAAGGCATGTGGACTTCAACTCCCAGAATTCCACAGCCAGGATTGCTGGCTGTGGAATTCTGGGAGTTGAAGTCCACATGCCTTAAAATTGTCAAGGTTGAGAAACACTGCCTTAGAGGAAGAGAACTCAGATCTTAGCATAAAACTTTGTTATGCCTGTGCCGACATTTTGAAGCAATAAAAGACTTTTAGGGAAATCAATACCTGGAAGTTCTTTGAAGTGTTTCATTAGCCGGAATCATAACATAATCAGCTTAGCTGGCCCTATCATTAGTGGCAGCTCCTGCCCTGAAAGCCCCGCCCACTCCTGCAGAAAATGATGTCATTGGCCCCGCCCACACCGGGAGATTCCAGGATCCTCAGAAGCGCTGCGCGGGGAGGGGGGGAATGGCACGTGGCGCATGGGCGGGGCAGGCTTTTGTTTTGGGGCTGGTAGGCCAGGATGTTTATCTTACACTCCGTCCACGCCCAGAGGCACTTCTCCAAAAAACGAGGCGGTGCCTCTTGTCTCTTTCCTCCCCCTCCCCACCCACTCACGTGGCCACTCTCCCCCCCTTTCGCCCACTTCTCGCCCAAGATGGCCGCCAAGGCATTCAATAGCCGCGACGCCAAGCGCCTGCCCTTTCCCAAGATGGCCGCAGCTGTATTCCGTAGCTGTGCCCACCGCCTGCCCTTCTTTAACATGGCCGCCATGGCGTTCAATAGCTGCGACACCTGCCCTTCTCCAACATGGCCGCCCGCTCAGGCGGCGCCTCCCCCCCACTTCCAGTCACAAATATGGTACGTTCCGCTTCGCCGCGCCCACGGGTTGGAACGAGGTCGGAGGGTCAGGGAGGCCCGGATGTCGGCTCTCTCCGGGTAGGAGGCGCCGGTTGCCCGGATGTTCCTGTTGCTGCGGCGGCGGCGGCGGCTGCCGTGGTCGTCACCGGGGGGCGCGGAGCAGCTGGGCCCAACATGGCTTCCCCGGCGGCCCTGAGGAGAAAGTGAGAGGGGGCGAGAGGCGGGCGGGCAGGTGGGGGGGCGCGAGCCGAGCGTGGGAGCAGTCAGAGGCCTAATTGGGGAGGGGGCGGCCGAGGACGGGAGGGGCCGGCCCCGCCCCGTGGCCGTGGGGCAGGCATTCCGCGGGGGCGGGTGAGCGGAGGGGAGGGCCGGATCCCCCCAGGGGTTTGAAGACTGGCGGGGGGGGGGGCTGGGAAGGCTCTGGCCCACTCCTAATTGGGGAGGGGGAGCTCGACCCCCCATTAAAGTTATCCATTCCTGCTGGGCTGGGCGGTGGTCCTAAGGCTCCCCGCAGGGAGGGGCTGCTGGGCCAGGCCTCGGGGGTCTTTGAGGGATGGAGGGGAGGGGGGAGGAGAGCTTCGCAGGCCTGGCTGCTTCCACCGAGCCCCCCAGGTGAGTCAGGCCAGACTGGTGGGGAGGAAGGGAGGGAGGCGTCTGGGTGGGCGCGGGCCTCGCCCCCCCCAGCTGTTCTGCCCTGCCCGTTGCTCCCCTCGGCCCCCCAAGCCAGGAAATTGAGGGGGGGGGCGGGCTGTTTGTGGGGAGTCTCAGAGGGGCTTTGGCGCGGTTGGGATGGAAGCTGGGAGAGGGAGGGAAAATAATCACAATGTTTCAGCTCAGGGGTTTCCAGCTTTGGCCGCTTTAAGTCTTGTGGACTTCGATTCCCAGCATTCCCCCAGTCAGCCACAGGTAGTCCTCGACTTATGACCACAGTGGTGCTCAAAATTTCCATTGCTAAGCAAGAGAGTTAAGTGAGTTTTGCCCCATTTTGCAACCTTTATTTATTTATT